TCCCTTCCCCACATACAGCACCACAATGCAGCAAAGAGGGTTGCCCTGCCTGGCAAATACCTAAGGTTCCACCCCTTACTATGTAACAGGTTCACCAAGACAAAGAAATATGGCCCAAATGAAAGAACAGATCAAAACTCCAGAAAAAGAACTAAGCTATGAGGAAATAGCCAAGGTATTTAATGCAGAGTTCAAAACACTGGGAATCAGGATACTCACAGAATTGATTGAGCTCGGTTGCAAACTGAAGGAAGAAATGAAGGTTATACAAAATGAAATGAAGGAAAATATACAGGGAATGAACAGTGAAAGGAAGAAAACTGAGACTCAAATCAATGATTTGGAACAAAAGGAAGAAATAAGCATCCAACTGGAACAGAATGAAGAAAGAAGAATACAAAAAAATGAGGTGAGGCTTAGGAACCTCTGGGATGACTTTAAGCATTCCAACATCCGAATCATGGGGGTGCCAGAAGGAGAAGAGGAAGAACAAGATATTGAAGACTTATTTGAGCAAATAATGAAGAAAGCTTCACCAATCTGTTAAAGGAAATAGGCTTTCAGGAAGCCCAGAGTCCCAAAGAAATTGGACCCAGCGATGAACACACCAACAAACATCATAATTAAGTAACCCAAGATTAAAGTTAAAGAGAAAATCTTAAAAGCAGCAAGAGGAAAGGAGAGAGTTACCTACAAAGGAGTTCCTATAAAGCTGTCAGCTGATTTCTCAAAACACACCTTGCAGGCAAGAAGGGCCTGGAAAGAAGTATTCAAAGTCATGAAAGGCAAGGACCTACATCCAAGATTATTCTATCTAGCAAAGCTATCATTTAGAATGGAAGGGCAGATAAAGTGCTTCTGAGATAAGGTCAAGTTAAATGAGTTCATCATCACCAAGCCCTTATTATATGAAATGTTAAAGAGACTTATCTAAGAAATAGAAGATCAAAAACTATGAACAATAAAATGAGAACAAGCTCACAACTATCAACAACTGAACCTAAAAAACAAAAACAAAAACAAAAATGAACTAAGCAAACAGCTGGAGCAGGAACAGATCAGAAATGGAGATTATACGGAGGGTTATAAGCAGGGAGCGGAGTGGGAGAAAGTCAGGGAAAAAGGTACAGGGAATAAGAAGCATAATTGGTAAGCACAATATAGACAGGGGGAGGTTAAGAATAGTATAAGAAATGAAGAAGCTAAATAACTTATATGTACAACCCATGGACATGAACTAAGCGGGGAGGAAAGCTGGAGGATGGGGGGGCAGTGAAAGGAGGAGGCGGATAAAGGGGAGAAGAAATTGGAACAACTGTAATAATAAAATATACTTAAAAAAGATTTGCTTTACATATTTAGGTGCTCCTATGTTGGGTATGTAAATGTTTACTAAGGTTATATCCTTTTGTTGGAAAGTTCCCTTTATCATTATGTAGTGTCCTTCTTTGTCTGTTACTATAGCCTTGTTTTTAAAGTCTGTTTTGTCAGACATAACTTACTGCTACCCCAGCTTTTTTTTCCTTTTCCATAGGCATGAAATTTCTTTTTCCATCCTTTTACTTTTAGTTTCTGTGTATCTTTTGAACTGAGATGGGTCTCTTGGAGGCAGCATATATATGGATCTTGATTTCTTTTTTTTTCTAGATTTTTTTTTATTTATTTACTAGAGAGAGAGAGAGAGAAACATCAATGTGCGGTTGCTGGGGGTTATGGCCTGCAACCCAAGCATGTACCCTGGCTGGGAATCGAACCTGCGACACTTTGGTTCACAGCCTGCACTCAATCCACTGAGCTACGCCAGCCAGGGCTGGATCTTGATTTCTTATCCATTCAGCTACCCTCTGTCTTTTAGTTAGAGCATTTAATCCATTTACACTTAAGGTGATTATTGATAGATTCATATATAGTGCCTTTTTATTTTTAGACTGTTTTCCTATGTTTTTTTTTTTTTCTTTCTCTTTTTCTGCTTCTTAAAGCAAGCCATTGAACATTTGTTACAGCACTGGTTTGGTGTCAACAAACACCTTTAACCTTTTCTTGTCTGGGAAGCTCCTTATGTCTCCTTTGATTTTAAATGGTAGCCTTGCTGGGTAAAGTATCCTTGGTTGTAGGTCCTTGTTTTTTATCACCTGGAGTATTTCACACCACTCCCTTCTGGACTGAAATATTTCTGTAAGTAAATCAGATAATAGTCTCATAGATGCTTCCTTGTAGGTAACTACCTGCTTTTCTCTTGTAGCTTTAGGATTCTCTCCTTGACTTTAAGCCTTGCTGTTTTAATTATATGTGTCTCGGTGTAGGTCTCTTTGGATCCAACTTGTTTGGAATTCTCTGAGCTTCCTGGACTTGTATGTCTTTTTCCTTCACCAGGTTAGGGAAGTTTTCAGTCATTATATCTTCAAATAGGTTCTCGATCCCTTTCTTGCTCTCTTCTCCTTCTGGTACTCCTATGATGTGGTTGTTGTTCCACTTCATGTTGTCCAAAATGTTTCTTCAGCTCTTCTCATTTTTTAAAATTCACTTTTCTTTTTGCTGCTCTGCCTGGGTGTTTTTTTCTACCTTGTCTTCCAAATCACTGATTTGATCCTCTGCTTCATCTAACCTATTGTTTATTCCTTCCAGGGTATTATTTATTTCAGATATTGCATTCTTTATTTCTGACTGGTACTTTTTTATGGTTTCTATGTCTTTCTTCATGCTGTTGATTATCCTTATAATCATTACTGTAAACTCTATATCTTATGAATTGCTTGCCTCTATTTTAGCTAGTTATTTCTGTAGAATTCTCTTGTTCTTTCATTTGCAGTCTATTTCTTTGTCTTCCCATTTTGGCTGCTTTTTTGCACTTTTCACTTAAGTTATTAAACTAATCAAGTGGAAATCAGCAGCCCAGCTTAAAAGGTGGGGCTCTTGCTTCCCCTCAGGCTGATGCCACTTGTCTCTAGTCCTCTCTGCCCTCCCTCTGCTGGAGTCCAGGGTAAGTGACTTTAAACAAAGTTTTGTGCATTGGCCCTTTAAGAGGCTCTCTGAGTCTCCCACCATCTCTCCCTGGCAGACAGAAACCCTGCTGCTTTTCACAGCTCAATGTTATCTGGGTTCATTTGGCTCTGGTGCTATAGGCTGGGGAGTCTCGCTTGGAGTTTAGACACCCCACTTCTCAGGGGGAAACCCCCAGCTGCTGAAATATCCCTCTGGATCTTCAGCTGCTGCCTGTGGGAGCCCAGCCACCCTCTCACATCTCCTCTGCACTCCCTCCCAGTCACATTGTGGTGAAGTAGTTTCTTCTGTCTGTCTGTGGTTATAAGGTTTCGCTCTGGCTAGTGTTCAGTTGGTTATTCAGGATGCTTTCTCTACAATTTAGTTGTAATTCCAGATTGGTTCTGGTACGAGGTTAGTGTAGCTTCCATTTAGTTCTCTGCCACCTTGGATCTCCTCAAGCTATTCTTTTTAGTACTCTTTTTGGTAGTAGAGTAAATTAGATTAAGCTTTTATCAATTTCATGTCTTGCTGCTTCTCCCTAATTTGAAATTATAAATATTTATGTATAAGGATAGTTTTGCCATTGAACCTACAGTGCAGTAAATGCTTTGTCTTTTATTAACAGAGAACTAATTTTCTGTTTCCTGATTTCACTCCTAGCTCTAGATTCACTGTTCTTTCTACTTACCTATCATGGTGTGGGGTATACTTAATGTATTGTCAACTTTAGAACTTTCCAGAATATGCTGAGACCACCTCTCAGACTTGTGCTTTTAGACATATTTCACAGTCAAAATTAATTAATGGTGGTCCATTTCTGATTAAGATGAAAATTTAAAATACTGGATAAATTTTTTAAAAAGATTTTATTTATTTATTTTTAGAGAGGGAAGGGAGGGAGAAAGAGAGAGAGAGAGAAACATCAATGTGTGGTTGCTGGGGGTCATGGCCTGCAACCCAGGCATGTGCCCTGACTGGGAATCAAACCTGCGACACTTTGGTTCGCAGCCCGTGCTCAATCCACTGAGCTACACCAGCCAGGGCTTGGATGAATTTTTCTCAATTTCATATTTTTCTCCCAGAACTGTAAATATTGTTTAAATATTCCACAGCTGTTTCTAGAACTCCTTTTAAATGCTAGGAGCTATCATGGTGAATGAGACCTGTCCCCTTCACTCAAATTGCTAATATTTTGGTGGGGGGGAGTGGATAGATAAATAAATAAATTCTTATAACATCAGCTGTGATAGGAGTAAGTGTAGGAGTTAAGGGAATTGATAGAACCTCTCTCCTAGTCCCAGAAATTTAGAGGAAGCTTTCTGGTGGACACACCATCTATATGGAGGATGGAGTGACATGTAACTTAACAAATAATTGTTGGCAATAATACTGATTACCATATTTTGAGGACTTGAAAATGTCAAACACGGTACAAAGCATTTTGCATATATGTAACAGCATTCAGTCTTACAATAATCTGACAAGGGTTATTCCACTTTACCAAAATGAAAGGTCAGTCTCAGCAGAATAAGTAACCCCAACAAATTTCTACAGCTAATAAGTGGCATAGCTGGGAATTGAACAGCCACAGATTTTAACAGAAAAGTTTGAAAACAGCTAATTATACAAGTTCAAAATTGTTTTTTTTTTTTCAGGTACAAATGTGTTCCTGATTTAATATTGCATATGTATAATACAGGAAATTTTTCTACTAATAAACTGTTACTAGTTCATATTCTGGAATTAAATAGATCACTTTTAGTTTTCTACACCTAACAAACTTAAGCTCCGCTATAAGATATTAATTATATGTCTTAAATTTATATTTTTTAAATGAATTTCACTTATGTTTTATTGATTGAATTTTATTTTCAGCTTTATTGGAGTTTTTGATTATTATAATTCCCAAAATGCAATACCCCATTCTCAATTTTGATGGAAGAACCTTGGCTATAAAATTACTATAAAAGCTAATAAGGATTAATAAACATGACTAATTTTTCCTTTTTCCCTTTTAGTTTGGGATATGGGCGGATCAGCTTGGGGATGGAAGAGCCCATCTTATTGGAATTTACATGAATAGGTACCATATGTTTTCTTGTAGAATAGCTTTTCTGCTAAATGTTAACATGAAACTTCTAATACTTAGATTTTTTTTTAAGGCAAGGTGAAAAGTGGGAGCTGCAATTAAAAGGCTCAGGGAAGACCCCATATTCCCGGTACAGTTTTTTGTTTGTTTCATTATTTTAATTAAAATTGATATTGTCTTTACCATTGAAATTCTTTTAATCTTATTTCCCATAGAAATGGTGATGGCAGAGCTGTGCTTCGTTCCTCAGTGAGAGAATTTTTGTGCAGTGAGGCTATGCACTATCTGGGAATTCCAACCAGCAGAGCTGCCAGGTAACTCCTCCTTCCTTGAAGCTCACTTTCAGGACTGGATCATTTTGTCTCCAGAATCATGTCAGTAAATTGATCAGATAAGTTTCTACTTGTAGTTTCTAATAGTTTTAGGTGTTTTTGAGTGCTTGCTTGCAGTTAAAGTGTAAGTTTAATTGTTTGATTTTCTTATGTTCCAGTCTGGTTGTGAGTGATGATGAAGTATGGAGAGACCAGTTCTACAATGGGAGTATTGTGAAAGAACGAGGTAATAACCATTTTTAGATTTTATATAAAATTAGTCTAAGTACGTACTTTTAAGAAAAATTTTATTCATTGACTTTAGACAGAGAGGAAAGGGGGCACGGAGAGACAGAGACATTGATTTGTAATTCCACTTATTTATGCATTCATTGGTTGATTCTTGTATGTGCCCCAACCAGGATTGAACCCACAACTTTGGTGTATCAGGACAACACACTGACCAACTGAGCTACACAGCCAGGCCCTAAGTTCTTTTTTATTTTTATTTGTTACTGTTTTATTGAATTTATTGGTGTGACATTGGTTAATAAAATTATGTAGGGTTCATGTTTACAATTCTGTAATCCGTCATCTGTATATTGTATTATATGTTCATCACCCCAAGTCAAGTCTCCTTCCATCACCATTTATACCCTCTTGACCCTCTTCTTCCTCCCCCGATCTCCCTTTCCTTCTGGTAGACACCATGCTGTTGTATGTGTCTATGAGTTTTTTTTTCCTTAGTCCTTTCACCTTTTTCACCCAGACCCACAAGCCTCCTCTTCTCTGTTCTGTTCTCTATCAGTGAGTCTGTTTCTACTTTGTTTATTAGTTTATTTTGTTCATTGAATCATATGGTACTTTTTTCTCTATGGACTGGCTTATTTTACTTAGCATAATGCTGTCCAGGTCCATCCATGCTGTCACATCAGGTAAGATTTCCTTATTTTTTTATGGCCAAGAAGTATTTCATTGTGTAAATGTACTCACAGCTCTTTTTGTCAACTCATCTACTGATGGACACCTGGGCTTCGTCCACATCTGGGCCATTGTGAATAGTCCTACAGTGAAAATAGGGACTCAAAACTAAGTTCTTAAAGAACAACAGATATGGGACATCTTTTCAGTCTTCTTAAAACATGACCTGTGGTTCTTCCAGATATTTCAGTATTATGATATTATCATAGAATTCCCTTTCCCACATCCTTACATCACTAATCCATCCATTTCAAACAGCAAACATCTGGGAAGTGAACAAAAGTTGTTTATGGACAGTTGACAGAATGTTAACAAAGCCAGTATGCAGAAGTTCATACACCTTCCTCCCAGCAGAGCCCAGGGACCTTTCTTCAGAGCCTGGCTGCTCTTACTTCATGTTTACTTCCAGTAAGTTCAATGAACTTTTTCCTCAGCCTGTAGTAGGTTAAAAATAAAACAAACCTAGAAAGGGGATGAGAAAGTGTACTGTAGAACAGCAAAAAGGGAGAGAGGGAGAAATTTGGCTCTAAGTCTCTGGGGAGGGAGGGGACCTGAAAATCGATAATAAACATATTTAACTGCTTAAAAAAGCAGAGCTATCAAGTACTGTTGACAACCTAACATGCTTAATTGGGTCATTGTTTCACAGGGCAGCATTTTTACTGAGGTTTATAGTGATTCACCAGAGCACATTTTCATGTTCTTATACTTAATGCATAATATGTTTTGATAAGATTTTCATAAAAAACAATCTCTCTAAAGTATTCATGCTTAAGAGAAATAAGTGTTATTTATTATTTTTTTTTTTGGTGGCATCTCTCTCTGCTCTTAATTTCATCTGGGTAATATGGATCCTATTGCACACAAGCCTCTAACAACCATTTAGGTTTTTTTGTTATTGGTGGTTGGAAGTGAGAGTCTAACCACGGACTGTTCATTTGATGGATACAACACTACTTACTTCTGTGGCTGTAACTTATATATGTTGTTAATCTGAATTCCAAACCGTAGTCTTAATAGTTTCAAATGGCCCCAAGTATTTCTCCTTTTTAGGGCATTACTATAACTTCCATATCTAAATGCTCACATATATACAGGTATTTCAGTTGTGCTTTTATGCCAATATCTGCCCAGCAGCCCAGCGGTGCAGTGAGAAAAGTGCTGGACAGACAGAAAGAATATGTGAAGCCTAGAACTGGTTCTGTGGGAATTGACTTGTGACTTGGGCAAGTCACATTTTGTTCCTATTTCTCCATCTAAAGTGAGACGGTTAGATTAGATGATACCTTTTGTGTCTTTCGTTGCTAACATTCAGTGATTTGATGGCTATTCATTAAATAAATAGTTATTTAATAGTTATTAAATAACTTATTCTAATAAGTTATTAGAATAACTTATTGAGCTCTTATGTTTCTTCTAAGTGGCTACATTTTTATTGCTCAAAAAACCCCCACATCAAAATAAATGTCTAGATTAGTATTGTGAATTAATCCTTAATATGTGGTAATTCAGTTAATCAAGAAAATACTAATTGTCTCTTTTCTAGGCCTCCTCCCATTGGACCAAACTCTAGGGGTTCCAGGAGTAGTAAGTGTATATTGTAGTCCTGGTCTTAAGAAATTCAGTCTCCTCTTCTGGTCAAGATGGAGGAGTAGGTGAACACACCTTGCCTCCATGCACAACTAGAGCAAAAAATACAGCTACATACAAAACAAATATCACCCAGAATTGTCAGAAAATGGAGCTGTGTGGAAGTTTGACAACCAAGGATTTAAAGAAGCCATATTCATCTAAAGGAGTAGGAGGGTCAGAAGCTGCTTCCTCTTAAATGGCCTGCAACAGACTTAGGACTCACTCAGACCTACTCACTCCCTCTGGGATTCAGCACCAGGGCAACACTTGGAAGGGCACCAGTGGCACATGGGGAAAAAGTGAAGTGCGAGTGGGGAGACAGCTTCTCCCAGGCAAAACTGCAGAGGCCAGGCAGCGGCATTGTCCTTCCCCACACAGAGCAACAGAACGCGGCATGGGTCGCCCCACCCTGGTGATTACCTAAGATTAGGCAAGATTTCAGTATGGGGGGAAGAGGGAGTGGGGCGTGTGGAGCAGGGGAGACAAGCAGAAAGGCCCAGAGGCAGCGGGAAGTCTGTTGAAGAGTGTGGGAGCACCTGGGATAGACTGCATCTTCATGTCAAACACATGTAAGTACAGCATTCCTTATAAGAAAGAAATGCGAATGCTGTTCATTAATTGTTACTATTGTCTATAATCAAAACAGAAGGCAGCAATAGAAGGCAACAAACACAAAAGGCATAGATTCATTTTATTTCTCCAGTATATTCATACATTAGAGCATATGTAAACATTTAGTAACTGAAGTTAATTTTCAGTTAGTTGCACACATGAAAGGCACTTACGGAGACTATGCCATAGAAATAATTCCTAATTCACTGCTTCAGGAAGAGTACAGGGAAAAGGCCACAGTAGAGGAGACAGTGGGACTGCGATGTTCGGAGCCTCACGATGGGACTGAGCAGCCTTTAGCGAGGTCAGAGCCTCTGTGTTTCTGAGAGTGTCGTGGTTCCTAACATTCTAACAGATGCAGGCTTAGAGAAATAGAGAAAATTCCTTGATCCTTTCAAGGGTATAAATTAGTTTTTTTTCCCCAATAAATTCAGATACTGAATTCTTTTTTATTAAAATAATTTTATTTTTAAGAAAAGCATACTAGGCCCTGGCCAGGTGACTCAGTTGGTTGGAACATCATCTTGCAGGCCAGAAGGTTGAGGGTTTGATCCCTGGTCAGGGTTCATACGGAGGCAACTGATAGATGTTTCTCTCTCACATTGTCTTTTTCCTCTCTCCCTTCCTCTCTCTCTAAAATCAGTAAAAACATATCCTTGAATAAGGATTAAAAGAAGAAGGAGAGCATATTAGACTATGTTTTCATAGTTTGAAATACTTCGTGCTGAAATAAGTGTTTCTTTTGCAGTTGCGGTGGTACTGCGCATTGCAAAATCATGGTTTAGAATTGGATCGTTAGAAATTTTGGCTCATTATGGTGAACTGGATTTACTAAGGTTAGAAAATGACATTTTTTAAATGGTAGAAGACAATTGGAAAATATTTAGGTGCTGGGAAGCTAAAATATTTTTGGTTTTCTTATAGTTAAAACCCAAAATTTAAATTAATAAATATTTTAAATACTTGTTGTATGTCTAACATCATGTGAGTTTTCTAAGAGGAAAACTCAGGGATTTTTTTTCTCTAGTATGTGGCCCAGTTGTGGCTAAGGGTCTCTGTGCCACTCAGGGACCTGGGTGGAAGTGACTCAGACTCCCCATTTCTGCAACCTCAAGCGGTCCAAAGCTCTCCTTCCACTTTCTGGGATTCCCAGTCTGTGTCCTCTGTCTCATGTCTCTTCTTTCCTGGACTCCAGTTTTGATGTGTGTTATGCCTGTTTCCACCCTGGGTTTATCCAGATGTGAAACTCAGCTCCATCAAAAGGATGAAAAAACAAACACACACTAGACTAAACTTACACAAAGCAGTTAGAAACAGAGTGCATCTTACTGAAGATTTCTGAGGAAAGAGCGAGCAAGGGTTGCTTCGAAAGAGCAAAAGCAGCAGAGTTCTTCTCTTTGTGTCGTGCAGTCCTGCTCCCACAATCCTCTGCTACTTCGGTGCCTGAGGTGTCTGCACGCACACAAGGCCATCCTCTTCAAGCCAATTTAGCGAGATATGTCTTCAAACAAACACATTTCTTCCTTTAAGAAAGATACTGCTTCCATTTGTTAAGCTAATACAGCCATTATAAATATATGTATAAATAAAAAATTACTTAAACAAACTAGAATCATTTGGAATATGGATTCTATATTGTAGTTGTCAATTTAGTAAATCCAGATTCCTAATCTATGAAGAATGCAGGGATTAAGGAAATGAAGGAAATGAATGACCAGAGCAGATAAGTTATCACATTTGACATGACAATTCTCTGAGTCTTTTTAAAATTAAAAATACTTACTTTTAATATATTTTATTTTTCAATTACAGTTGATATACAATATTATATTTGTTTCAGGTAGTCAAGCCTATAATTATACATTTATATGACTTACAAAGTGATCACCCCAATAAATCTAGTACCCATCAAACATCATACATTAACTATTGCAATATTATTTCATGTTCCTATGCTGTATTTACAGTCCTATAGCTATTCTGCAGCTACCAATTTGTACTTCTTAATCCGTTCACCTTTTTCAACCATCCTCCTAGCCTCCCTCCCATCTGGCAACCATCAAAATGTCTGTATCTGTGAGTCTGGTTCTGGTCTGCTTGTTTGCTTATTTTGTTTTTTAGATTCCACATATAAGTGAAATCATATGGCATTTGTCTTTCTCTTTCTATTTCAGTCAGCACAATATGCTCTAGGTCCATCCATGTTGAAGATGGAAAGATTTCGTTCTTTTTTATTGCTGAGTCATATTTTGTTGTATATATGCACCATTTCTTCTTTATCCATTCATCTACTGATGAACACTAAATTGCTTCCATATGTTGGCTATTGTAAATAGTGCTGCGAAAACATATGGATGTATGCATATGTCTTTTTGATTTGGTGTTTTGGGTTTCTTTAGATAAATCCCCAAACATGGAATTGCTGGGTCCTTCGTTGCCCCTTGCTATAGCCTTTGTTTTAATGTCTATTTTGTCTGGTATAACTATTGCTAACTCAGCTTTTCTTGTTTTCATGAAATATCTTTATCTGTTTCTTTACTTTCAGTCTGTGTATTTTTTTATCTGAAGTGAGTCCCTTGTAGATAGCATGTATAAGGGTCTTGTTTTCTTATCCATTCAGCCACTCTATGTCTTTTGATTGAAGCATTTAATCCATTTGCATTTAAAGTAATTGTTAGATACATATTTATTGCCACTTTATTATTCATATTTTTCATATTTTTTCTCCTTCTTCTTAAAGAAGATCCTTTAACATTTCTTATAATACTGGTTTGGTGGTGTTGAACTCCTTTAGCTTTTTCCTGTCTGGAAATCTGTCCTTGCATTCTAAATGATAGCTTTGCTAGGTAGAGTAATTGTGGTTGTAGTTCCTTCCTTTGTCACTTTGAATTTCTTGCCAGTCCCTTCTGGCCTACAAAGTTTCTGTTGATAAATCAGCTGACAGTCTTATTGGAGCTCCCTTGTAGATAATCACCTGCTTTTCTCTTGCTGCTTTTAAGATTCTCTCTTTGTCTTTAACTTTTAGCATTTTAATTATGGTACAGTCTTGGTGTCTGCCTATTTGAGTTCATATTGTTTGGGACTCTCTGTGCTTCTTGGACTTGTATGTCTATTTCCTTTGCTAGGTTAGGGATGTTTTCTGTCATTATTTTTTCAAATGGGTTTTCAGTTCCTTGCTATGTCTCTTCTCCTTCTAGCACAATGATGTGAAAGTTGACCCAGAGCCTCCTTAAACTATTCTACCCTTATTTTTTGGATATGTATTTTTTCTTTGCTGTTATGATTGAGTGTTTTCTTCTATCTTCTCTTCCAAATCACTGCTTTGATTTTCTGCTTCATCTTACCTATTGATCCCTGTAATATGTCCTTTATTTCAGTTATAATATTCTTCATTTCTGACTCTTTTTTATGTTTCCTGTCTCTTTGTTGAAGTTCTCACTAAATTCATCTACTTTTCCCCTAATTTCATTGAGTATCCTTACAACCAGTATTTTCAACTCTGCATCTGGTAGGTTGCTTGTCTTCATTTTATTTGGTTCTTTATCTCTAGAGTTTTATTCTGTTCCATCACTTGGGACTTATTTCTTTGTCTCCTCATTTTGGTTGTTTCCCTGTGTTTGTTTTGATGTATTAGGTAGAGCTGCTATGTCTCCCAGCCTTGGTAGAGTGACCTTGTGTAGTAGGTGCCCTGGAGGACCCTGTGTCGCAGCCTTCCTGGTCACTTGAGCTGGGCAGTCCAGGCGCATCCCACTGTGTGGGCTGTGTGAATTCTCTTGTTGCAGGTGAGGCTTCATTGCTGTTAGTACATTAATGGGAGGGATTTACACCCAGGCCAGTTGGCTGTAAAGACTGGCTGTTACTACAGTGGAGGTGTTGCTGTGCAGGGACTGACCTCACAGTGTAGAACTTGCTTCAGCAGTGCTGTGGTGCCCACCAGGTCTGCCCATTCAGTGTGTCTCTTATAGAGGTGGTTGGGTGATGCTCTGGCATGCTCTCCATGGCGTGTGCTGTCTCAGGGACCTCCCAGGAGGTTTAAACCAAGATGAGCCACCATCTTTGCTCTGTCCAGGGCCACAGAACATAAGCCACAGAGTGAACTGTGGGTGGCTGCTAGTTATGCTGGCTTGGAAATGCCTGGGAGCAGCCAAACTTTGGACCAAGACCAGCTGCCGCTAGTGCCAGGCCTGGGATCACTAAGCAAGAGTATGGGGCATGCTGAGGCCAGATGCTTTTTGTTTGGAGTTTGTGAACCTTTGAAAGATTTTAGGAAAGGCTGCAGCATGAGCCAAGATAGGCTGTTTGTATGGAAAAGCCACTGGAACTGGCTTGGGTGTGCCTGAAATTGGGTGGGACAGGGTCTCAGGGTGGGGTGAATAGTGTTAGCAAGGCTGATGAAGACTCAGATATAGTGCCTGCCTGCTGGCTTTGTAGGGGGCAGTGGAGCTCAGCAAAGGAACAATGACCTCTGTTAGCACTTCTGTCTGGGAGAAAGTGGCCCTCCAGCTCTTACCCCAACGTCAGACAATTCAGTTCCATCTTGTATGTCTCTGGTGCCTTTCGAGTGTTACCCCAATGCTGAGTGAGTGAGTCCAAGTAAGTCTGTGCATGGGCCCTTTAAGAGTAATATCTGGGACTCCAGAAGCTCTTAGCCTCACTCAGCCTCAATCCCTGCTGGTTTTCACAGCCGGAAGTTTTGGGGACTTCTCTTCACAGCACTGGAACCTTGGGCTTTGTGGGGCACAGTGTGGGGCTGGAACCCCTCTCTCCTCAGTGGGGACCTTTGTGGCTGAGATATCCTTCCTGATTTTTAAGTGCCATACATGGGTGAGGGAGCAGCCTGTTCTTCATCTCCACCCTTCCTCCCAGGACTTCAGTTTGGCTAGGTTTTAGGCAGTTCTGGATGATGAGGTGTTCTGTTGTAATTTTGATGTGAGTGTGGGAGGTTCCAAGTACTGCATTTACCTAGACCACCTTTTAGCCAGAAGCATCTCTGAGTCTTACTTTAGCAAATGTTAGCTGAGTACATGGCTATCTCGGCTCATTGAGAGAGTTGTCTACTCTCACTGGCATTATTTCTAACTTCCCATTTGTTTTTTGGGTCACTTCTGTTTGGTTTCACCACGTCACTGAAGTTGTTCCACCTGGTGGTCCTGCTTCAATTATATGTCACTTCTCTCTCTGACATTGATGTACATTGGTGACCTCTTCATCCTTAAAGTGCCTCCACTGGCTAACATAACTATATGTACCTTTTTGTTCCCTAAATGCCTGAAACAATTCTTGACACATCAGCACTTATTCAAGTTATTAAATGGTTAAATTATCAAAAAATGCCTATGTACAACTCTAATCCACTCTTACTGTTTTGCCTGGGTTTTAATAATTCTCAAATCATATCTATAACCTCCAGTTTTTCATTTGGATTCTCTCTTATGCAATGCAATAACAAAAGTATATAGTTGACTAGAACAGTCAATTAAAATTGGAAATAAAAAACATAATACATACATAACTTATTTTAACTTCAATATTGGCCAGATTTTTCTCATCTCATTTGTGAAACTTGTGTGACCTTCACACATAGTCATTCCCTCCTCTGTTTTTTTTTTATACTTTTTATATGCTTCTATTATTGCGTGTATTGTGCTGTAATGTCATTATCTTTAATGTGTTCTTTTTTCCTAATCAAGTATGTGCATTGAGGGCTGGGTCTGAGCCTTGTCATCCTTCTTCCTCACACTTGCACAGGGTGTGGCATACAGTAGGTGCAGTAGGTGCTCCATGGATGTTTATTGAACTAATGTGATTTTATGACATAATAAGATGGAATCTAATATGACCCTAGAAACACATTTCCAGTTTTGATTGGTCTTGAGGAAATATTTCTTCATTGCTGTTTTATACATTCTTATTTTAATTAAAAAACTTTAAAGTGTGAATCTAATGAATTTGTGAATGATAAGGGTGGATGTAGATGGTTAGATATTTGATACTATATTCTGAGGAACACTGATGCTATCTCCTTTTAATCTCCAGGACATTATTAGACTTCATCATACGGGAACACTTCCCCTCAGTAGATGTCAAAGAACCTAACAGATATGTGGTAAGTTTTTAAGGAGAAAGGGCAGTACTCTGTTTTCCCTTATTGGCCTGCCAACATTAGTGGTTACAACTTAGGACTTAAAAAAACTACATTTAGGAAAGGAAATGTGGAGCACCATGAGCATTTTGTTAGAGAAAGGTAAGATGACCCACTGTGTAAACAAGGCATAGATAAGCAAGTTGCTTTGTTTGAAGGTTATCTAGAAAAAAAGAACAGGTGCTACTGCATCCTGACTATATACATTGTTTTTTTTGAGCAGCATTTATGAGTTGGTCACATATATTCTTTTCTTATCTATCAGATACATAGATATTTCTATAGTTGTAGTTCTAAAATAAACATAGTACATAATAGGAAAACATGATTTGCTATTCTAGTGGTAATTTTTTGATTTTTATACCTACTTTTCATTCTTTTAACAGAGAAGAGAATCCCATTATTTTTCTTAGTGATTCATTTCAAAGTTTAACAACTTGCTTTGCTTACATTTAACTTCCCTGTGCTGAATCATCTGATGCCTTTTCCTTTTCTTATTGGACATGGACAAAGTTTGGTCATAATACTGTGTCTGAGCCTTTTATGTATTATTTCTGGGTGAAAAACTTTATGTTCTTCTATATATAATTTCTATTCCTTCAGTCATCTGTTGGCCCGCCTTTGAATTCTTTCTGTGTTCTCCTTGTGACTTATCAGAAGATCCTAAAAGAGTATACATTGCTGAAAATCTGAAATTTTTTTAAATTTTATTTTAGGGATTTTTTTCCGTTGTGGTATCCAAGACGGCACAACTTATTGCTTTGTGGATGTCTGTTGGTTTTGCTCATGGTAAGTTATCTATTGGTGTTTCACTCTTCTGATGAGAAAGTAGAATTAATCTGTTGAGGTGGAAGATTTCTCTTTTTGTATATTTCAAAATATTCCTGCCAATGAGCTTCTTAACATTTATAATATATGAATTTATTTTTAGCAACAGAGAAACACTTTTCTCATATTTAAAATGGTTTTGAATTGAACAGCATACACAAAATAGAATAAGGATACCCTGTGAGTATAAATTTAGATCTCTTTAAAGGCATTTTAAAAATCTTAATTATGAAAGCACTACATGCTTCTGTTAAAGAATTTAAAATATACAGAAGTGATTTTAATTGCATTCTCCAGGATAATCATTATTAACCATTTCATATCAAGTTTTCTAGACTTAATTTGGTGATATTCATATGTCTCCTACAAAAACAGCAGGGCTGGCTTGTGTATGTTTGAAGCCATTCACTGTGTGGGGCTGCATTGGAAGGAATATCTGCCTCAACTAGGAACAACTGAGAAGCAAGTTCTGTATGTACTAAAGTCTCTAGATAAATGCCAAAGCGGGGTTCCACATTGCAAAACATCTTGAAATCTGCTTTAATTACCACACACTCTCTGTATCTCACTTGGGGCAGAGTGGGAACAGGGTAGGTGTTTCAAAGTTTTTGCTGTTATTAACTGTGCCACAGTGACCACTGTGCAACTACATCTGTCTGTTCTTGAAGGTGAATTTTTGAGAATGAACTCCTAAAAGTGGAGTGGCTGGGTTAGTGAGTCTCTACATTTAGCATTTTGATAAACAGGGCCATCTTGCTCTGAAAAACGTTGCAACTCTCTAACTGAGTACCATGCCACCATGCCCACATAGCCTGTATTAGGCTGGTGTGGTCATGGCTTCCTCCCACCCCACACTCTGCCCCCACCCTTGATCCTCTCACCTAAAAAGTCACTTACCGCCCCCCCCCCCACCCCTCCCCACTGCCAGTGCTGTGCACCTCAGGACTGGCATGGGGTGCACACATACTTATTTTCCCCTTTTCCCCTTTTCATAGCCTTTGACAATTTTATTCCTTTACTAGTTTCAATTCCATTCCATTCCAAATAACATTTTTTTAAACAAGTGTTAGAAATTAAGGATAAATAAGAGAAAGTTTCATTTCTTGGTGCTTTTGTTCCTAAAGTATTTGAAATCTTTGGGAAGGGGGAAATATAAAACAAAAGGCTAAATTTAATTTTAAAATATAGTTTTAATATGTATGTTAAGCTATTTGTCTTCATCAGTTAAACTTTCAATCGATACTCTCATTTTGTTTCATTTCTAAAACAACTGTTTTCCATGACATTTCCTATTCCAGATAATTTTGTACAGTTAAAATATACTTTATTATTTTTTTATCATGTTTTTGCAATTTTTAAAAAATTTCAGGTGTTTGTAATACCGATAACTTCAGTTTGTTATCCATTACAATCGACTATGGTCCATTTGGTTTTATGGAGGCCTATAACCCAGGTATGCATGATTTATAGGTATGTATTTAAATGTGCCTTTGTTTACAGGTGTATTTTAGATAAACTTATAGCTAATGCAGTGATGGGGTAGTAAAAGAACTGGGATCATTCATAGAATGGTCCTTTTCTGTGGTACTCGATCTTCCAGGTGCCACAGGGGTACAACAATGGATTCTTTGTGACGTCGTCCCTTAGGGAATCACATATCAGAGAAGAGGGCGTGAAGGATAGCAGGGAATACATTGTGAGACGTGGGCTTGATATATGACATCTGACCCGTAAAGGTTGTGTGCCCTTGGACAATTTTCTTAACCTCTCACTTAGTAACCTGCGAAGTACAGGTGATAGTAATATAATACTTACCACTAGAAGGGTCAGAGCAGGCTTTGTGGACGACATGCTGCTTTGGAGTTTGAAGTGCATATGCCATAACCTGGAAGTTCTTATAGGTTAGCAATGCATTCTTTTATTAGGAAAATATTCATACTGTAAAATATTTTCATGTGCATTGGCATTAAGTATTTATATTACGTTTGAGTTAAATGTTTAATGTCAGAAAGATTCTTATTTAATAAACATAAATTTGTTAAGTTTAAATACAAAATTAAAAATGAGGGAAAAAGCTATTTATTATAACTACCTTCACTGTATAAAGATAGTATTTTTTTTAAACAGGTTTTGTACCTAACACATCTGATGATGAAAGAAGATATAAAATAGGAAATCAGGCCAATATTGGGATGTTTAATTTAAATAAATTGTTACAAGCTATAAACCCATTACTGGATCCTGGGCAAAAGCAGCTGTGAGTAAATCCTAAATATATTAATATATTTGTATAATAATAATTTTTTGAAAGAAAATGACATCTTATTTATTTATTTATTTATTTTTCTATGGAAACAAGGGGTTTAATGCGGGCTTCAAGCTTACACAGGTCTATGACACACTGGGAAGGGAGGGTGTGGAAGGGAGGCACCAGGAATCAGAGGAACTGCCCTTAAGCATTTGCACTTGAAATACTGGCACTCTGGACAGGTTGGAGCTTCCTGAGGAGCCTTGAGAATCCCTGCATATCTGTTTGCTACACTGGGTCTGAAGGTTGTCATAGGGCAAGATTTTTGGAAGTCACAGCCTCAGCAGACCTAATACCAAGTACGTAACTTGTGCTCAAGTTGGTCAGCAGGGCCAGTAGTCAGGAGCCTGAGCTGGCTGTGGAGTGGGGGAGATTGAGGAAAAGCTGGAGTCCACCAGGCACCTTAGCATCTGTGCTTCTGGCTGCCCTGACTGTCAGAGTATTGGCCTCTACTTCTCTCTGTTTCCCAAGTCTCGCATGAGTTCATTTATCTGGCAAATATAATCCTGAAAGGATCTAGGAAAAGGAGTTGCTGTGAAATTCCCAGCTCTGGCGGGAGCCATGGTACAGTCCAGAAAAGCCACTTGTTCCTGGATTTATTCATTAGATCATCTTAACTGCTTTATCTTATGGAGAAAGGCTATTTTGGAAGGTAAAGCATTCTTTTGGTCAGGATACATTGTACAAATTTTTTTTGATTCATGCTCTTTATTACACAAAAACATTATTTAAATCCAAAATATATTGTGATTTTTTTTTTTTTGGTATCTTTTTTTCCAAAGAGAAGGAAATGAAAGAACCCAAAGCCAAAGGCAGAAACTTTGAGTTTACCACTAACAACAGTGTTGCCTTTTCAGCAAGTGGAATTGTTTCTTGCCATTGAGGGAAGAGAGCAAACTGGTCGGGGGTGCTGAAGCTCTTGACCCGCAGTGACTCCCTTCCTTATCTGGGCTTCAGGTCCCACAGCTGTGCAGTAGGCTGTCAGTGATGTGGAGTCTGCTGCCTCCCCCAATCTAGAATCTGTCTTCAGGCCCAAATCCATCACCTCAGCTTTCCTTTGGGAATTCATCTCACCTGTTTCTAGTCCAATCCGTTCCAAAGAGCTGACCCCACGTCTAGTCAGTCCCACTTTCTGTCCTCTGGGTGCTCTGATGGGTTCAAGGATGAGAATGTGACTAAGCCAGGCCAAAGGAATTTTTGATATTTTATCTTTATTTATTTTTTTCATATAATATTTTGTATTAGTTTCTCATGTACAGAATAGTGGTTGTACAATCATATGCCTTACAAAATGTTCCCCCTGATATTTTCAGTATCCAACTGGTATTTTTAAGCTGTGACTTTTCATGGAACTCAAGGGAAGGAGAACCCCTTCCAGCAGAATGGTTGGTGAGTGGGTGTCAGCCCCGAGTTGCCAGAGGTGCTTGATGCAGGCAGAGAGACACTGCCTGTGACTGGCGTCACCCAAAGGCACTTAGCAGGCTTGGAGAAGGACCACATCTCACTGCAAGAGTGTGAGAACCTGGTCCTGCCAGGTCCAAACGCCTCTTCAACTTGCCTTTTGCAAGTATTAATTTATTTTTACAATTTTAAAAAGCATTAATTTATTTTACTTTGGTAATGTGTCTAGTTCCTAGCAAATAAGAGAGTCCCAGCTGACACATAGGAATCAATAATCCCTGAGACTTCCTCCAGTATGGTGTTCTTACTGGGAAGGGCAAAGTGGCATTTTAAAAACCAGCTTATTGAGACTTCTGGTCAAGATGGAGGCATAGGTAAACATGGCTTGCCTCCTTGCACAACCACAGCAAAATTACAACTAGACTATAAAATAAATATCATGCAGAATTGTCAGAAAATTGAGCTATGTGGAAGTCTGACAACCAAGGAAATAAAGAAGTCACATTCATCCAGATCGGTAGGAGGATTGGAGATGCAGAGATGCAGAACGAGTGGTCGCACACCCATGTGTGGTGGATAAAAACTGGGAGGGATGCTTTGGGAGCAAGGGATTCCAGCTCCACACCAGACCACCCAGCGCAGGGTTACACACCCAGAAGGTAAGTCTACATAACTTCTTGCTGTAAACCAGTAGGGGTTGTGGCAACAGAGGAAACTGTAGGATTCTCAGGAGTCTCCTCTTAGAAGGCTGTTAACAGACTTAGGACTTAAACATACTCACTCCCTTTGGGATCCAGCACAGGGGCAGCAGCTGGAAGGGCACCAGTGGCATATGGGGAGAAATGAAAGTGTCTGGCATTAGGACAAGTGCTGGGGGACAGTTTTCTTGTGGACAGAACTCCAGAGGCCAGTCAGTAACATTGTCCCCTTTCTGAGCCCTTCCCCACATAGAGCCACAAAGTAGTGATACCATATCTGAGACTCCATCAACCTAGTTCACATGGGTTGTCCCACCTGACAATTACATAAGGCTCCACTCCATCCAGCTTACCAGTGCACTTTTCCACTATAAGCCATGATACTATGAGAGGGGGGCAAAGCAGCTCTACCTAATGTATAGGAACAAACTCAGGGAAGCTGCCAAAATGAGGAGACAAAGAAATATGGCCCAAATAAAATAACAGAATAGAACTAGAAAAAGAAACAAAATGGAGATAAAAAACCTATCAGATGCAGAGTTCAAAACACTGGTTATTAGGATGCTCAAGGAACTCATTGGGTACTTCAATAGCGTAAAAAAGACCCAGGCAGAAATGAAGGTTACACTAAGTGAAAAAAATGTACAGGGAACCAACAGTGGGGTGGAAGAATCTGAGAACCAAATTAATGATTTGGAATATAAGGAAGAAAAAAACATTCAATCAGAACAGCAAGAATCCAAAAAATCAAGTATAGGTTAAGGAGCCTCTGGGACAACTGCTGGAAGGAGAAGAGTAAGCAAGAAGTTGAACTTGAAAAAATAATGAAAGAAAATTTTCCTAATTTGGTGAAGGAAATAGACATATAAGTCCAGGAAGCACAGAGAGTCCCAAACAAGGTGGACACAAAGAGGACCTCACCAAGATACTTCATAATTAAAAAGCCAAAGTTTAAAGATAAAGAGAGAATCAAAAGCAGCAAGAGAAAAGTAGATGTTACTTACAAAGAAATCCCCATAAGATTGTCAGCTGATTTCTCAAAAGAAACTTTGCAGGCGAGAAGGGGCTGGCAAGAAATATTCAAAGTGATAAAAAGCAATGATGTACAATCTAGATTACTGTATCCAGCAAAGCTGTCATTTAGAATGGAAGGGCAGATAAAGTACTTCCCAGACAAGGTAAAGCTAAAGGAGTTCATCATCACCAAGCCATTATCCTATAAAATTTCAAGGGGTCTTAAGAAAAAGAAGAGCAAAACTATTAACAATTAAAATGGCAATAAATTCACAACTATCAACAACTGAATCAAGAAAATAAACTAAGCAAACAAGCAGAACAGAAACAGAATCATAGATGTGGAGATCATTTGGAGGGTTATCAGTTGGAAGGTGGAAGGGGGAGAATGGGAAAAAAAGTGTAGGGATTAAGAAGTACAAGTCAGTAGGCACTGAATAAGGAGGGGGATGTTAAGAACAGTATAGGAAGTGGAAAAGCCAAAGAACTTATATACATGACTTATATACTTATACACATAGTCATGGACATGAACTAAGGGGGAGGGTTGCCAGAAAGAATGGGAGCTACTGGGAGGAGGGGAGAAAATGGGGAAAAACTGGGACAATTATAATAGCAAAATCAATACAATATATTTTAAAAACCCATTTTATTATTTAGTCTTTAATCATGACAGCATTTCAAACTACATGTATTTCTCTGTCATTGTTTTGGCTTTTCCCATAGCTAAGAGGATAAGTTGTACTATTTATTGTTTTTTAGATGTAAAATTTTGTTTTATTTCTTCTTTGATCCAAGTGTTATTTATCATTGTTTATTCATTGCTAAATTGTTGGACTTATTATGTCCATTATTTTGTGTAAAGAATGTGTTTGGTAAAGTCTACTACTGAAAATGTGTGAAGGTTTCTTTTTGGCGTAGCCATGCTGTACTCAGGAGGGAGGGCCTGAGGCCTGGCTCTGACTTGCGTTTTCCAGGCCCCAGCAGCTGCTGGGGCCTGGGATTGTGTTAAGACTTGTGTTGATCTAACCACCAGGCACTGAACTTCTTGAAGGCAGGAACCACATGTTATTCATTTCTGTGTCTCCATTGTATTCTCCAGGAGATGAGACATATTTCTCTTCACACTCTCCTCCCTCTCCCAAATCTAAAATTTACTGTTTCCAGTGCAAGATCCCAAATGGAAGACAAGGCATATAGTGACTTTATTAATCCGACGTAGCAAATAAAACATTATTACAATTAAGATAAAAAAGTTTTATGTCCCCTATATAGTTTTCTTAATTAATTTAAAACTATATTGATGATATAGTCACATAGTTCAAAATCAAAGTGATATAAAATGATGTTCATTAAGCAGTCTTCATCCCACCCTATCTGCATTAATTTTTTTCTCCCTTTTACCCTGTAGAGTTCATTCATTAATTCAACAAAGATTTATTGAGGTACTTGGTATGTGTCAGACACTGTTCTTAGTGCTAAGGGGATAATAGTGAGTGAGGCAGCACAATAATTGCGACTTCATAGTGCTTACTTCTGGTCAGAGAGACAGAATAAGTTATATAATTTACTCTTTTAATAAACAAATAAGTTATATAACATAGGAGGGGATAACTACTCTGGAGAAAAATAAAGCAGTGGGTAGGGAATACAGGGAGGGAGGGTGGGAGGGCTTGCAGTTTTAGAAGGATGGTCAGCAAAGAACTTGAGCAAAGGCGTGGAGGAGTCACAGGAGCAGATATCTGGGGGAAGAGAACTGCAGGCAGGGGCCTGTGCAGAGGCCCTGAGGTGGGAGTGTGTGTGGGGCGTGTAAGGAACAGCCGATGGTTGCAGCAGAATGAGCAAGGGGGAGTGTTGTAGGAGATGAGGTCAGGAAGGTAAAAGGAATGTGTTGAGTTTGTATAATTGAATATACATTTAAGACAGTTAAGAAATAGAAACTTCATTGTTTAAAGATAGGTTTGTGGTTAAAAGTGCTTTAATTTTTATATTTATATGAAATATCTCACTCTATGTTCATACTTTCAGACAAGTAAAATATGTTGTTGTGTGAGCTACTTGTAATACATTATATTGGGTCTAAGATGATTTTTAAAATACACCCAAAAGTTATATAAGTTCTTGGTATATTAACATTTATCTTACACGCTAATTATGTATAGTAATGTTTCAGGAATGCCATGGTATGATTTGCACTGTATCTAAACCTTTGAGGCAGTAAATTTGTGTTGATAGTGTTCTCTAAGATATGATATATAATTACATCATTAAACCAGAATCAGTAGCATATAATCTAATGATTTTTTTAATTTTTAGAAAAATTTTATTGTATTTTTTCTGTTACCACTTAACCTCCTTATGCCTCCCTCACCCCTGCAATCACCACACTGTTGTCCATGTCCTTGAGTCCTTTTTCCTTTTTGCTCTATCCCTTCACCCCATGACCTCCCTCCCACCTCCATAACTGTTATCCTGCTCTCTACCTATCAGTCTGTATTTATTTTATTTGTTAGTTCAGTTTGTTCATTAGATTCTACATATAGGTAAAATCATATGGTATTTGTCTTTCTCTGACTGGCTTATTTCACTCACCATAATGTTCTGGAGGTCCATCCATGCTATTGCAAAGGGTAAAATTTTCTTTGTTTTTATGGTATTCCATTGTGTAAATGTCCCATAGTTGTTTTATCCACTCATCTACTGATGGACACTTGGGCTGCTTCCGTATCTTGGCAATTGTAGATAACGCTGCACTAAACCAGAGTCAGCAGCACATAATCTAATGTCATTTAATACATGAGAAGTTTCACTTTGTTCTTATAAAATGTAATTTAAGGATGCTAATTATAAATCAATGTTTAACTGTTCTTCCTTTTTTCTTCCCATAGCACTGCTCAGATTCTTGAGAGGTATCCTGTTCTTTATTACAAAAGGTTTGTTCTTTTTAAAAAAATTAAAAAAAATTTTTTTAAAGATTTTAGTTTATTTTTATAGAGAGGGGAAGGGAGGGAGAGAAACATCAATGTGTGAATGCCTCTCACATGCTCCCAGCTGGGGGCCTGGTTCGCAACCCAGTCATGTGCCCTGACTGGGAATTGAACTGGTGACTCTTTGGTTCGTAGGCTGGCACTCAGTCCACTGAGACACACCAGTCAGGGCAGGTTTGTTCTTTTTGAATACAAATGTTAAAGCATCCTGGTTGGTTTGAGGACAGTTCTTAAAATAGTGAGAACTGTAATAACAAATTACCTTGACACTTCTTTTAGATTTAGAGAATTGTTCAAAGCCAAATTGGGATTACTTGGAGAAACAAAGGGTGATGATGATTTAATTGCATTTCTCTTACAGGTGAGTTTGTCATTTTATCTTTTTTTCTGATTAACATTTGAATTACTAATCAATATCTCCTCAAAGAACTGAGGTTGATAAATACACTTATTTTCACTAGCTCATGGAAGAGACAGAAGCTGATTTTACAATGACATTTCGGCAGCTCAGTGAGATTACTCAAAGCCAGTTACAGGAGCTCAGCATTCCTCAGGTACTAGTGTGTGACACTGGGCTTTTTTCTTAATTTCATTTTCTTTTTAACAGGTTTATCGAGGTATAATTTATATGCCATAAAGTTTCACTCACCTTCAATATATAATTTAGTCATTTTCAAATAATTTACAGATTTGTGCAGTTTTCACAATTCAGTTCTGGAACAATTCCATCATGCTTCAGATCCTTTGTGCCCTTTTGAGTCAATCTCTGTTTTTACTCCCAGCCCCAAGCAACCACTAATTTACTTTCTGTCTCTCAAGGTTTGTACTTTCTAGACATTTCCTATAAATGGAATCGCACGATATGTGGTCTTTTGCATCTGGCCTCGTCACTTAGCATGCTTTGAGGTTCGTTCACATTGTGACCTACATCAGTAGTGCTTTCTTCTTTATTTCTGAGCAGTGCTCCATCCTTTGGCTACACCACGTTTTGCTGATCCCTTCACCAGTTGATGGACATTTGGGTCATTTCCAGTTCTTGGCTGTTGTGAATAATTACTGACTCTGAACATTTATGTACAAGTTTTTGTGTGAACATGTGTTTCATTTCTCTTGTGTATATTCTAGCAGTGGAACTACTGGATGGTTTAGTAAATTTATGTTTAATTTTTTAAGAAACCACCAAACTATTTCCAAAGTGCCTGTACTTAGTTCACTTTTGGGAGTATGTATTGCATTTATATATGGTCTAATATGGGTATTGCCAGCAGATTTCTACTTACAGATTTTTAGAAACATAGATCTGTGTTTAAGATCTCAGTCTTCTGTATTGCAGTGATTATTTTTATCCTCTTGTGATTAACACCTAGACTTATTTTTTTAATGAAGAACATTATCTTTCATGACATTCTCTGTATAATGTTATCTTTTCACAGTTTTTAAAAAATTTAAACTCATTTATCCAATCATTCAATAAGTGTTGAGGACTCACAATTATTGACAGCTTATTCTGGGACAGGAATTATAGTAAATGCTTCACAAAATAATGAAAATTTATTATTAATATAATAACAATTATAAGTAACATTTATTGAGTGCTTATTACATTCTAAGCACCATTGTAAGATTTTATATGTATAATCTGTTGCATTACATATGCGGTACATACTACGTTGATCTCTCTTTTACTGATAAAGAAACTAAGGCATAGAGAGTTTACTTAACTAGCAGCAGGTCACACAGCTAATGAAAGTCTGGCTGGATTCAAACACAGGCAGCTTTCTCCAGAGTCCATGCTCCTGGTTCCTTAGCTCTGCTGCATCTTTCTTGTGTAAGAAAAAGATGGAACCCTTCTTCCCTCAGTCCCTTGATCCAGTCAGTCACCAGATGAAAGGTAGCCTGGGCTAAGTCATAAGGCCAGGAAAGAGAGTCTGGCGGAATACGTCTGTAGGTTTTCCAGTGATTTTCACTGTGCTTAGGAGGCGGTGTGCTGTAGCGACTGGAGAGAGAGGCCCTGGAGGCAGATTGGGTGCTTCAGATCTGGTTCCCCCAGGACAGGCTGTGTGAGCTTGTACAGGTTACCTGGTTCTCTAACCCTCCTTGTTTCATCTGTGAGACAGGGTTAATGGTAATGCCTACCTCATATGTGCTCAGTAATTGTTAGCTGTCAGAACATTTCAGACTGCTGTGTTTTCAGCATGATCTCTGCCTGGGGTTTGAAGGAAGGGTGCATTATTGAAACTACACTACCAAGAGGCTTCAGCTCTTACCACTTATTTACAATTATTTTCACAAAAAATAGCTGTCAGTATAGGAGATGAGAATTAAACCAATGTTCTTTGAAAAAGAAGCATAACAAGTGATCCTGTAAAGGTGGTGTGGATCACTCTAATTATAAGAAAGATTATTTTTCTCATGGGCATGGATAGCCTTAAATTACATTTCTAGTAGTTATTTGAATAAAAAATGCCTACCTATGCAGTAGGAAATACAGAAGAATGTTAACCAATAAGAATCTTTGATATAATTGAAAAAATTATTGATTCATTCATCTATCAACTAATTATTAAGCGGTAATCACTAATTATCATTTAATGTGTAGAAAACTGAAAGTAATGTTAAAGTGACTTTTTCAAGTTTTTGACAGATATCAATACTTAAATTACTAAGTATTTTAAGTACTTAGTAATTTAACATTTACTTGGAACATTTGAGATCATTACACTTTCAATTATTTCAGTAGTAAATTTCTGTGCCTTTTGAATATGAAACCTTTACAACCCCCTGACTAGTAGGTGGAGCTAATTGCTTATTCTTTTGCATTCCCTTATCCTTTTATAGTTCTATAATATATATTTTATAAATATGTATATTTCTAAAATGGCATTGAATATTTTTACACATTTACCTTAAATGCGAGGACCATGTCATTAATTTTTATATCCTTCCCTCCTAATAAAGTTCCTAACTGTAGTTGATGTTGCATAAATATTTATTTAATGAATAGGTAATGAAATAAAAGTTAGTTGCAAATTAAGTTTTTGAAAGTAAATTACTTTAAGGGAGTTCCCTATTTATTTTTGTAAAGATTTTATTTATTTACTTTTAGAGAGAGAGAAAAGGTGGGAGAAAGAAAGGGAGAGAAACAGCAGTGCGTGAGAGATACACAGATCATGTTGCCTCTTGCACGCCCCCAACTGGGCACCTGGCCCCAACCCAGGCATGTGCCCTGACTAGGAATCAAAGTGGCAACCTTTTGGTTTGCAGGCTGATGCTCAATACACTGAGCGACACCAGGCAGGGCAGTTCCCTATTTAAAGGAAGACTTTTGGTTATACAAGTATTCATGTGTATGTAATCTCAATTGATAAGAATAGTATATATATTTTTATTTCCCTTAAATCATTCCATTACATGGATTTCCATGAATTAGAATTTTAGAGTTGAATGTTATATAAAGCAAAGGAAAATATTATTCCTTTTTAGTATTACGTCTACTCAAAATAGTACACTTTAAAAAATCTGGATATAAATTATTAAAGAATATTTTGAAAGGAACATGGAATTAAACTGAACAAATATTAGTAGACTAAGCACTGTATTACTGTATTTTCATTTAGCAATTCTGGGCACTGAAGATGATTTCAAAGCATGAACTCTTCCCTGTCTGGGTGTCCCAGTACCTCTTGAGACTGAAGAGGTAAGTTCATCTAATGATTTACAAAAAACCTTGTGATGTGTTACTTTAGCATAGTGAATTCATCAGATCCCTTCCTTCCTTTCTGTTTTCCCCATTTCCTTTTACTCCCACACACTTTGCACTAGTTCAGGCATCTTAGTAACCCCTCACCCATGGAGAGGGTACTTGTCTGTCCACCTTGACTCTCCAATAACACAGTTCCCTCTCTTTCTCAAGCTCTGAGCTGGAGAAGAGTTCCTCAGGCTTTCTTCCGATGTTTACTTATTGGCACATGTTATACTACTGTAAGAAGTTACTTTGTTTCATAACCTAAAATGAATTAGAAGCAACAAACATGACAGAGTAAAGGAGTGGTAAGTAGAGGCAGCTGTAGGGAGAGACAAGAAAACCACAGGTCACACAGGAGCAAATACCCCTTCACAGTTTAATGGCCACTGAGGGCTCTTTATAGTGATGAGTCTGAGTAATCAAACAAAAGTCAAAATATTTTCAGAAGACTAAGTTTAAGGTAAGGAAATTCATGTTAATTTAGGCTATTTTTATAAATTTATTTCTTAAAATTTTTATTTATTGAGAGAGGGAGAGAGACATCAATTTGTTGTTCCACTTATTTATGCATTCATGGGTTGGTTCTGACTGTGCATCAAATCCCCAGCCTTTGCCTATTGGGACGATGCTCTAACAAACTGAGCTGCTGCCTGACCAGAGCCTACACTATTTTTAGACAAAAATATTTTTTGATTTGTACAAATAAAAGAAGGTTTGACATTATCTAAAATAACTAAACAAGGTAGTATTTTACATATTATTTAATCAACTCACTATTTTCTTATTTTTAAAGACTTTATTTTTCGAGAGGGGGAGAGAGGGAGAGAGAGAGACAGAGAAACATCGAAGTGTGGTGGCCTCTCATGTGAGCCCCCTACTGGGGACCTGCCCAATAACCCAGGCACATGCCCTAGACTAGTAATCAAACCAGCGACCCTTTGATTCTCAGGCCACCACTCAATCCACTGATCAACACCAGCTAGGGCTCAACTTGGTATTTTCTATATTCCTTTCAGACACTGATTCACTGTGATTTGAAAATGTTTTTTGTCAATATTTGTCTTGTGAAATAATTCCTACCCTTTTGAAAAACGATATAATTTTGGGAGTCAGGAGATAATTTTGTCTTTTGTTTATTCATTTTTAGTAACATGAATGATTCAGATTCCAAAAGAAGAGAAAGAATGACAAGTAAGTAATCATTTTGATTTTATTTCACTTTAAATAATCACATAAAAGCAACATTTTTGAAAACCAGCAGTAACTACTTGATGGAACTGAGTTGTTTTTTAAAAAATGAAATTAATTTAAAAATTAAAAAAATTAAAGACTGGTGACCAAGATGGAGGTGTAGGTAGATACACTTTGCTTCCTCACACAACCAAAAGAAGGACAACAACAAATTTAAAAACAAAAAACAACCAGAACTGCGAGAAAATCGAACTGTATGGAAGTCCAACAAGCAAGGAGTTGAAGAAATATCCATCCAGACTAGTCCGAGGGGTGGGGACTGGCAGCCGGCGGGGAGAGGATGCGTGGCAAGGTGGCAGCTGAAGGACTGGGCAGGCAAGGCAGTGGCAGTGGCCCCACATTTGCGTGTAGATAAATTGGGAGGAAAAACTGGAGAGCAAGACAGACTGGACAGCCCATGGTTCCAGCATGGGAAAAGAAGGCCTCAAAACCTTTGGTTGTAAAAACCTGTGGGTGTTGACTTGGCAGAAGAAACTCCCAGCCTCACAGGAGAGTTCATTGGAGAGACCCACAGTGTCCTAGAACATACACAAGCCCACCCACCTGGGAATCAGCACCAGAAGGGCCCAATTTGCCTGTGGGTAGTGGAGGCAGTGACTGAAACCTGTCTGAAAGCCCACCAAATGGCATTGTTCCCTCTCTGACTCCTGCCCTACATACAGTGCCACATTGCAGCCATGTGGGTCACCCTGCACTGGCGAATACCTAAGGCTCTGCCCCTTACTATGTAATAGACCCGAAATCGAACAACAACAAAAAATGGCCCAAATGGAAGAACAGATCAAAGCTCCAGAAAAAATACAGCTAAATGATGAATAGATAACCAACCTATCATATGTAGAGTCCAAAATACTGGTAATCAGGGTGCTCACAGAAATGGTTGAATATGGTCACAAAATAGAGGAAAAAGCAAAGGCAATGCAAAGTGAAATAAAGAAAAATCCACAGGGAACCAATAGTGACAGAAAAGAAACTGAGACTCAAATCAATGATTTGGAGCAGAAGGAAGAAATAAACACTCAATCAGAACAGAATGAAGAAACAAGAATTCAAAAAAATTAGGAGAAGCTGAGGAACCTCCAGAACAATTTTAAATGTTCCAACATCCAAATCATAGGGGTGCCAGAAGGAGAAGAACAAGAGCAAGAAATGGAAAACTTACTTGAACAAATAATGAAGGAGAACTTCCCCAATCTGGCAAAGGAAATAGACTTCCAGGAAGTCCTGGAAGCTCAGAGAGTCTCAAAGAAGTTGGACCCAAGGAAGCACACACCAAGGTACATCATAATTACATTACCCAAGATGAAAGATAAGGAGAGAATCTTAAAAGCAGTTAGAAGAAAGGAGACAGTTACCTACAAAGGAGTTCCCATAAGGCTATAAGCTGATTTCTCAAAAGAAACCTTGCAGGCAAGAAAGGGCTGGAAAGAAGTATTCAAAATTATGAAAGACAAGGATCTACATCCAAGATTATTCTATCCAGCAAAGCTATCCTTTAGAATGGAAGGGCAGATACAGTACTTCCCAGATAAGGTCAAGTTAAAGGAGTTCATCGTCACCAAGCCCTTATTATATGAAATGTTAAAGGGACTTATTTAAGAAAAAGAAGAAAATGAAAACTATGAACAGTAAAATGAGAAAAAGCTCACAACTATCAATAACTGAACCTAAAACAAACAAACAAACAAACAAAAAGCTAAGCAAACAACTAGAACAGGAACAGAATCACAGAAAGGGAGATCACATGGAGGGTTACATTGGGGAAGGGGAGAGAGGAGAATGGGGGAACAGGTACAAGGAATAAGAAGCACAAATGGTAGTTATAAAATAGACAGGGGGAGGTTAAGAATAGTATAAGACATGGAGAAGCCAAAGAACTTATATGTATGACCTGTGGACATGAACTGAGGTGGGGGCGGATGCTGGTGGGAGGGAGGATGTAGGGCAGAGGGGAATAAAGGGGAGAAAAAAATGCAGCAACTGTAATAGCATAATCAATAAAATATACTTTAAAAATAAAATTTTAAAAAATTAAATTTTGTTTTTTAAAAATTGAATTAATTTAAACTTAATGAATTACATATTTTTTAAAAAAAATATTGATCTTAGAGAAAGAGAAGAAGGAAGAGAGAGAGAAAGAGAGAGAAACATCAATTTGTTGTTCCACTTATTTATGCATTCATTGGTTGCTTCTTGTGTGTGCCCTGACAGGGGATTGAACTGGCAGCCTGGGCATATTGAGACAAAGCTCTAACTGAGCTACCCAGCCAAGGCATGAGATTTTTTTTTTAAACTAGAAGAATTCTAGATGAATAAATTTGACTTGAGTTGAAGTGTCATATATGAGCTTTTCTAAATTTACTTTCTGGTGCATTTACTTCTAGTCTCTTTTTGTATGTACTGATTAGAAGAACATGTAGTAGTAACATATGGGGGTATAATTTTATATCTTATTTTCACTAAAAATAAATTAAGCAGTTTTTCTTGCTTCTTCATTCATTATAATGTAACATTTTTACTGGCTGTATAATAATACTTTCTCGAAAGGATTTATTATGTTTTACTTAACCATTTTCCTGTTATTAAGTATTTAGGTTGTTTCTAGTTTTCCTTAACAATATGAACAGTATATTTAATGTTTGAATTTGTTCCCATAGACTATATTTTCAGAGAATTAGAATGACTGAGTCGCAGGGTACTTATATTTTTAGATTATCTTTCATATTTTGTCAGATCTTTAAAACCAACTTGAAATGCAATTTGTTTGTTCCTTCCATTCAAATAACTCAGGCAACTGCTGTTGAGAATCACAAAACGGTGATTTCTGGAGGCTTCTAGAATTTCTCTTATGCCACCCAGTTGATATTTTGGAAAAGTCTCATCTCAAATAAAGACACAGTTCCTGAAATTTTTCTAAATGTGCTATTGTTACAATAATTTTCAATATTTAAAAATGCATGGTTACTATAAAAATATAAATGTAGAAAGAGTTTTGTCTGCAGGTAAGCTTTCCTGTACGCTCTTGGCCACATCAGCATGAAGCAGTCCTGCTGAGTCAGACCTTAATTCTGTGAGTGAAGATGTTAACAGCGGCAACTTTCCCCTTTCCACTTAGAATAAAGGGCCTAAGTGAGATGAACTCACTACTTTCTCTGTGCTTTATAAAAGGAGTAGCAAACTGAACATAGTGAAAAAGACAAACTCGTGATGAAACACTGAAAGGGCAAAGCAACATTGCTCATCTGCTGAGTTTCTTCTGTACCGTAAGGCAACAAACACCACACCGTTTACAGACAGTCACCATTGACTGGTGTTGACTGTTTCTTCTCATTTGAGCATTCCAGCAAAGTTCTTGAAGATTTTCTAATTTCAGCTGTGATTTCATGCAGCCCGTGTTGACCCAGAATTTATAGTTTCAGTGTGTGCTTTTCCTTCTTGTTTAAGCTGTTAACCCTAGATACGTGCTGAAGAACTGGATGGCAGAATCTGCAGTGCAGAAAGCAGAGAGGAATGACTTTTCAGAGGTAAGGTGGTTGACTTTTCTGCATTTACTTTTATTAATTTTAAATATGTCACATTTTAAACACACTGATTTTGTTTCCAGAATGCAAAATTAGACCACTGCCAGCACCAGCTTTAGAATTTTCATTGCCTGGTCTCTCTCTTTTGTGTGTGTGTGTGTGTGTGTGTGTGTGTGTGTGTGTATCAGTAAATCACTTTCTCATATTTTCTGATTTATTCTCTAATGTACTTAAAATTTTAAACATTCATTTATATCATAGAGGTACATTATGTGAGCATATGAGGGTCTTGTTCTGCTGTGTGTTGTTTACATTTGGGAAACCTGGGTTCAATCTCTGAAGTCCAGTGAAGCCGACGGAGGGCGCCCCCCTCCAGCAGGTCGCCATGGCAGCAGCAGACAGTGGTGGGGAGCGGGGTCCACTAAAATTAATCTGGACAGCAGGGAGAGGAATCAACTAGGTCTGAATGTATCAGCATGGATAACATTAAGCGAAACAAGCAGTGGGGAAAAAATATATACAATACATTACCACTTAATTATAGTGAAAAACATGTAAAATCATACTATATGTTACTTAGGGATATGCACATAATAGTAAAAGTAACAAAATAAATAAAGATGACAAACATCAACTTTTGACAGTGGCAACTGCAGGAAGGAGGAAATTTGAGTCAGGGAAGGATACTTGGTTCCAACTATATCGGAAGTATTTTATTTCTGAAGCCAAATGGAGGTTACACAGTTCATTATGTAATTTTGTGTACCTTCTTCTATGCCTCAGTGTTTCATAGTTAATTGTTTGAAAATGCATTGCATATAATCTCTGTTTTTTGGATTGGAGTGGCCCTGGCATTCATGCTGTCACTTGTCTGTCCTGCACCGGAGCAGGCAGTGTTAAAGCCACAAAACTTTTACTCCCAAAACGGGCTGTAGCCTCAGAATCACACTCGTCCACTGGGGAGTCACTACTTACGCTGTCAGAGTTGGCGTGAGAGAGAAACTTGGCTATTTCTCATTTGGAACGCGCAATCATTTTTTTATTTCAGTAGTTTACTTAGCCTGACAATTCTAGGTTTGCATTTCGGAAAATAAAATATTCTTACCTGTAATCTTTTTATGGTGGTAAGGAAAAACAAAGAGAAGGGAGATAACTGAGCATTTTTTTTTAGGTAAAGCAGTTTAAGCTGAGGAAACTAAACATTGTTTAATAAGTTGTTCTGTTGGTTTGTTTCTCCTCACCCCCCCCCCCCTTTTGTTTCTTCCCTCTTTTCTTTCCTTCCTCAAAGTTGTACTTGAGTAATGATGCAGTGCTCACTGTGTGGGGAGGTGTCTTCCTAAGTTCAAGAAAATATTTAGACCCACAAGACTATTACAGGCTGCTCTCAGCCCCACTCAACTCAGAAAGATACAGGACAGAAACCCGGCTCGTAAGAAGGGCAGTGTCAGGGTCCTCGCTGGCGGGAGTTCTGGCAGCAGTTCGCAGCAGCAGGACGCACATGTGAACGCCCAGGTCCTAGGAGACAAGAGCCACCCTGGGAAGAGGCAGGGGCAGCCCTGGTTTAAAAGCTTAATGTTCCACATCTTGGCCATTGTAAATAATGCTACAGTGAACATAGTGGTGCATATATTCTTTCAAAATGGTATTTTGTGTTTCTTTGGATATACTCCCAGAAGTGGAATCACTGGGTCAAAAGGCAGTTCTAATTTTTTGAGGACAGTGGCTGTACCAGTCTGCATTCCCACCAACAGTGCATGAGGGCACCCTTTTCTCCACATCCTCGCCAACACTCATTGTTTATTGAGTCACTGATGACAGCCAAGATTGGGAAGCAGCCCAAGTGCCCATCAGTAGATGAGTGGGTAAAACTAAGGTGCATTTACACAGTGGAGTACTGCTCAGCTGTAAAAAAGGAAACCTTACCTTTTGCAACAGCATAGATGGACCTGGAGATTATTTTGCTAAGTGAAACAAGACAGTGTGAGAAAGACAAATGCCATGTGATCTCACTTACATGTGGAATCTAATGAACAAAATAAACAGGATAGAAACAGACTCATAGAGAACAGATTGACTGCTTTCAGAGGACATTGGGGAGCTGGGTGAAAAAGGTGAAGGGATTAAGCAAAAAAAAAAAAAATCCCTCACAGACACAGATAACAGCATGGTGATGACCGGAGGGACAGAGAGCAGGTAGGAGAGGGAGAAAAGGGTAAAGGGGATAAATGGTGATGGAAGGAGACTTGACTTGGAGTGGTGGACTCATGACGCAAGATACAAATGATGTATTGTAAAATCATACATTTGAAACCTATAAATTTTATGAACCAATGTCACCCCAATAGATTCAATAAAATTTTAAAAATAAAAAAACTTCATGTTACACAGAAACCAGTATCTCTTGGAATAAGGCCATCGTTGTAGTTCCCAGTATCCCTACGAGAGACCTGCCTTAAGGGTCACCATGCTAAAGAAAGCCCTAAGCATACTCTCAGCAATTTGCAGTTTTCCGAGCCCAGACGCTATTTGTCAGGCAGGAGCAGTGTTGTATGGTGACACAGTCGACATGCCACCTCATCAGGTTACCAGGCAGCACACCTGGAGCATTAACTAAGGGTTCCACTCTTATGCAGGAAAGGGAAAATATTTGGTTAAGCCTTTGACACAAAACCCTTCGCATACACAACTTGTGTTTACCTTCTTGCTTCAAACGTTTCTTGAGAATCCACTGTATGTGAGGCACTGTGGAGAAGCATAAAAACTGATTCAGGGAGCTTTTAAGCTGGTGGGTTTAAAACTGACTTTAAACTTTAATTAAAGGTTGTCTATAGAAAGTACCTGGGGAGAAGTTAGGAGAGGCTCTGAGATTGATGATGATGCAATCTTTCTATTTAATGTAACAATGTATTCTATTTGAGTTTTTGGCTTTACTTTCTCACTGTAGATAATCATCCACCTTTTTCTGTCAGAACTAGGCACTTCCTTAGTACTATCTAAGGAAGTAATAAATCTATGGAAAAATATTTGAGATATGGTTGACATATAACACTATATTAGTTTCAGGTGTGCAACATAATGATTCAGTATTTGTACATATTGCAAAATGGTCACCACAATAAGTCTAGTTAATATCTATCACCATACATGGTTACAAAACCTCTTTTTTCCCTTGGGATGAGGACTTTTAAGCTTTATTCTCTTAGCAGCTTTCAAATATGCAATGCAGTGTTATTAACTACAGTCACCATGCTGCACCTCACATCCCCATGACTTAATTATTTTATAACTGGATGAAAATATACATTTTGATCCTAGAAATATTGTTTCAAGAGGTGTGTTCTTTGATGCCTCAGTTTATTACCATGGGGCAAAATTACAAAAGAGGGTCCACCTTAAGTTGGAATCTATGCCCTTGATTTAGAAAGATTGCAAAATATTGACACTGTTTTATTTTTGTAAATGTTTTAGAAAAATTATAATCCTCATACTCCTGTGAATTTTAATATCAGGGTGCATGTGTCGGCTTCGTGACACTGTACACATTCACTCTCCTGTTGTAGCACAAAACTAGTACTTGAAGAACTTTCTATGGAACGGTAGAAAATTTAAGTAACAACTATAGTTGAACAAGTATTAATAAAATATAAAATGTTTAAGCATTTTCAAACACATTTAAAACTTAGCTTGTTGTTTTAGAAATTGAGAAACTTAGTAAGTGTTCCAAGGAAGGAAATCTATATTTATCTACTTAAATTGTTTGCCAGGTCCGTCTCCTTCAGCAAGTTCTCCGGCACCCTTTCCAGAAGCACCCTGCCGCTGAGAGAGCAGGCTACTCCTCACCCACACCCTCCTGGGCCAGAGATCTCAGAGTTAGCTGCTCATCTTAATTTGGAAAAAATAAATTAAAGAATACTTCCATCATTGAATTCAACATAGAATAATCAATTTGATAAATTCTTAATGACCTTCTACATTTTGGTGACAATCCTGAATTTCAAAGTAACGATTATATAAAAAATATTTCTCAACTAAATAAACTGAACCTGTTCTTTGAAACATCTTTGTGATCATTTTTGTTCTAATTAATAACTTTAATGGAACCATAAGGGGTTTTTGGTAAACTGTGAGTTATTCTCAATAACTAAAAAATTTTTATAATGTTTTATAATGAATTTGTAAGTATTCATCTAACACTTATTATGTGCCCGGTACTTTGGAGCACATCTAATGAGTATGCTAGCTTAACTGTATTCTTACAGCTGTTTTCTTTGGTCTATAATGCTAATCCTCAAACACTTACCAAAGTTAAGAGCATAGTTTAATGAACCTCGTTTACCTTTTATTCAACCAGCTTATTAATTATCAATGCGTGGCCAATCTTGCTTCATCTAGACCCCTGCACACTTCTCAGTGTTCCTAGTGTTTTAAAGAAATTCGTAGACATTGTTTCATTTACTTTACCATATGTCTGTATGCATCTCTGGACATTACTGATTTAAAATACATACACACAATGTCATTATCACCTTAAGAGAATGAACAACTAACTCCCAAATGCATGAAATCAAATAGCCAGTTTTCAGTTTTTTCATGTTGTTTTATGGCATCACCATCACTATTGTTTCATAGTTGCTTATTTGAATTCGGATCCCAGTAAAGATTGTCCATTATAATTGGATGATGAATCTTTTAAGTTTCTTTTGATAACTGCTTTGAGCCACTTACATGTTTTTTTCTTGCAATTTTTTGTTTTGTTTTGGTTACAGAAACCAGATAATTCATCCTCTAGCATCTCCCAGTCTGCATTTTGCTGATTGCATCTCTGTGGTCTTGTTTAACATGTTGCTGTGTCCCCTGTATTTCTGTAAATCTAGGGCCTGATTCAGATGCAGATCTGATTTATTTGGTAGAAATACTTGCTGTCAGGAGGCTAGTGTGTACGTCCCCCAGGTCTTCCTATGTAATCTCACTGGTCACTGACACTCATCACCTCGACCCACTGGTTCAGTAAGGCTGCAGATGATTATAATCTAATTTTTCAGGAGCCTTCTAGAGAGGAAAACTTCCCATTATTTATTGTTTGGTTATCCTGCAATACAGAAAGGCAGACTCGCAAGTGGGTTCCCAAGCATGCTCTAAAGACAAGCAGTGGTCTTGTTTGTTAGTGTCAGTACGAACTCTTGAATTTAAGCATATTTTATGTTTCATACAATTGCATTTATTATCATCCTTACTGATGTACAAAGTGTCCCACATTTGATCGGTGAGGTTTTATTCATATTGGCTCCTTTCGACACGATCCTAGAAGTTTTTGCTAACTACCTTGTTTTCTGGTGTGGTAAGATGTTCTTACCTTAGCCCTGGAATTAATTACTAGCAAAGTGAAAAAAAGTATATTTGATGTGCTAAAAAGGGAAATAAAATGGAATCATATAAAGTGCTCACTTAAAACCATGGAAGGCAGAGCCAGAGGGGAAGATGAATGCAGGGACAGAGAACAAGGGCCGTGGTGGAGGACAGTCGCAAGGACGGTGCCCAGTGGGACCAGCCATCGCCTTAAACATCGAGAGTCTAAACACAGCAGTTAAAAGACAGAAATTACGAGAGTGGATCAAAACCCAGTAATTTTTATAGTTTTCCCCTGTAAGGGAAGGGTGTGTCGTGGAGAGAAGTGAGGAGACCCGGCTGCGAGCCAGCTCTGCGGGATCTCGGTTAAGCACGTCCGCAGGCTTATTTCTTCTCTAAGTTGGAAACAAGTTTGAAGTGACTGTTTTGGGGTCCTTGTTGACGCCCACAACAACCACATCTCTCCCTGTCCCTTCCCAGCGCCCAGGCCCTGTGCTCTCAGTGCCCTTGACCCAAGCGATGGGCCCCAGTACCCCCTTGGTTAAGTTTCAGGTACAAATGATGTGACAGGTATGACCCTGAACTCCGCTGGGGCCAAAGAGGTTCGCTTTCAGAAAATTTTCCTCTTTGATTTTTGTGAAAATTCTGGAAGTCATGGAGATGAAGGTGGAAAATATGTGGAAGATCAGTAAGACTTTAGAAGGTGCAGGATTTCAAAAGCTCTTTTCAAAATATCAAGTATATTATAAAAAGTGTTAATATTGCCCTAGATTTGTACAGATATTCCTAGAAATACCATCTTCAGGAAGAAAAATTTTACTTTTATTAATTCGATGCTTCTGAACATCATAAAATAAATGAACATAAAACATCATTTTGGTTAGCTTGGAAGGTGAGAGAAATTCCACCGATGTACACATCACAGGAAGAGTATGTACATTTAGACAGATACTGTAAATTCTGTGTTAGCTTAATGGTTATGAATGCACTTCAGCAACAGTGAAATGTTTTACATTTCTAGTCTGCACACTTTATATTTTATCTGAAATGACCAACATATCACGCAAAAGTAGCAAAAATGCACTTGAGATTAGAAACGATGGTACCTATCACACACAGACATCTGGATGTTTCCCTTAGGACATGTTGCCTCTTTTCTTCTGCAGAGCTTTCATGAGATCTGACATGAAATCCTGCTCCGCACCTCCTCCCCCGCCGGGTGGTCCCGGATTCTCTTGCCTTTTGGGGGGAATCGGAGGCCTTTTGGCAACAACAGGGGACGGCCTCTCGGATTCGGGGGCAAGGGTGGGTGGGGGTGGAGGAGGGGGCGGTAATGACCCCGCATCCCCGGCAAACGAAGGGGGAGGAGGAGGCACGAAGTCTGGTGGCCCTTCGTTAAAATCCGGGGGTGGTGGTGGCAGCTCTTCATCCTCCTCCACGGGTGGGGGCGGCGGGGGCGGTGGCAGAAAGTCATTGGGCGGGGCTGGAAAGCCGGTGCCCTTGGCCTTGGGGGGTATCACTGGGCTGCCACCTGTGTCTGAGGACCGTCGCACGGGAGGGGGCGGTGGCAGGCTGGACTTGGGAGGGTGATGGGCCCTGGGCGGTCCTGGGTCCTGGTTAGCAAGGACTGGCTTCTTGTCCTTCAACAAAGCAACAACAGCGTTAGTCTTGGCACACAGCCCCAGTGGAGGTGACATTCCTGCTGACCTGTGAGTTCTAGGTGGTGTTGCTCAGGGGGAGCCCAGAGACTGCAAGGTTGTTCCTGAGCTTATCTTCGCTCTGAGGCTGGAGAACGACTCAAAAGGCCTTTAACACTATTACCCGGAGTACTAATCTACCACGTCTCCTCTAAATGGAAGACAGCCCCATTCAAGCAGTTGTACATTATGTTTAGACTATGTGCGTGTCACCTCAGAATCTGTTATCTTTAACAGAGATTTAGTGGGATAGAGCTTAGCTAGTTGAAAGGTTGCTTAGGGAACTCAAAATGTCAGTGAACTGGCTCTCCTGGAATCCCCACGTCGCCTCGGTTCCCAAGGAAAGCCCCTGGGGCTGCAGGCATATCCATCAGCAACATTTCTCCTGGTTTGTGTTGAGCTGGCTGTGAGGCTTAGTTGTCAGGAGCAGGTGTCTATAAAGTTATTTTGCGCTTGTACCACACCCTCAGTGGCAGAAAGGTGGTTAAGGAGCATCTCAAAACCCTCCCCAAATCTTAAGTGCCCTACCGTGATTAGCACCAAGAAGGTGGAAGGGAAAAAGAAAACCAGAGTAGTTCTGGGCTGCAGGTAACCTTTGTGCAAGCCACAGCATGAAGGCCGTCTGTCCTGCCTCAGGACCTTCCTGCTTGCACGGGGAGCAAAGGTGCCTTTCCCCAGGACTGTGGGCTTGTAGAGGGAAGCCAACGATAGGCTTTGCGCTCACTCACAAAACAGCTTCAGGGGAGGTGGTGGGTGGGTGGAGCAGTCCTAAGGATTTACCTTAGCTATATGAAAGCCAGCTGGCTAATTATAATCATTATTATCTATGTCTCAAGGTTATGATGAGATCAAATGAGATAACTGTGAGTGGTTCCAAAGAGGAAAATCATGATGCATGTGCTACTGGTAGAAAACAGAACACCAAACTTGGCCAAAGGTCAACAAAAACGTAGTTCTTCTGCTGACATAATAGATCATAATAAATTATATTTATATAATGCAACTCCCCCAGAAATTCTAGGCAGCCGAATCGAATCCCTCTCTTTTAGTGAAAGTTATCACTGAATCTTACACTTTACGAGGTTTCATTTTATTTTTCTTTGCTTAATAACTTCTTCCCACTAAAGATTCCATTTAGAAGTTTTTTTTCTTCTATGAAAGTGCCTTATGATAAAGTTTCTATTTTATTTAGTTTATTTGCTTAACATGATAAGCTAATTTACTGGTGATATGTTTAAAAAAATTTTCTGAACAGGCAGTTGGGGCATTGGTATTCACACATAGTTAAGTGATTTCTATTCTGGGATCCTTTTGATTGCTTTCAGCATTTTAAAATGTGTGTCTTCAGCTGGCATCACAGAAACCGTGAAAATAATAAAGCATGATGAGAATGTCAGAAACACGCATTTTTTAAAAAATAATTTTTTTCTTTTATTGATTTGAGGAGAAGGGAAGGGAGGGAGAAAGAGAAGGAGAGAAACACTGATGTGAGAGAGAAACATCAACTGAACATGCAGCCCTGCTGTGTGCCCTGACAGGGAATTGAACCGGCGACATTTCGATCTGCAGAACGACACCCAACCGACTGAGCCACACCAACCAGGGCAGAAACACAACTGTTAATAGTTTATGGTGGTTTTCAAAAATTATAAGGCATTCAATAAATATAAGGTTTAGCTGTTTCCACCACTGGTGGATGGACAAAATGAAAGATGGAAATGAAGTGAAAAATTTCTGAAGATATAATTATTTAAGGTTGTTTTGAACCACACATGGAAAATATTCAAAGAAACTTGTACAGTAAACTGAAATGTTACCAATTGGGTTAGTTACTAAATTATAGCTTTTAGTCCTGGCTGGTGTGGCTCAGTGGATTAAGTGCCGCCTGCAAACCAAAGGGTCACTGGTTCCATTTCCAGTCAGGGCACGCAACTGGGTTGTGGGCCAGGTCCCCAGCAGGGGGTGGGAGAGAGGCTGCCAGTTTGTTTCTCTTCGTCTCTTTCTCCCTCCTTTCCCCTCTCTCTAAAAATAAATAAATAACGTCTTTAAAAAAATAAATTATAGCTTTTAGCTACAGATTTTAGATAGATTTAAATGAATCTTCATTCATCTCCTCTACTGAGAAAAGCAGTTATATAGAATGTTATACCGATTTAGCTATGATTTTAAAATGTGTTTTCTTCTCCATCACCCTGAAGATCTATGTAGAACATTAACAGAAAATATAAAATGCACAGTTGATAGTGAAATCCTCTTAGTAGTAGTCCTCTAATCTGCTTCTGTGGCTCAGTAAGCATTTACTATAGGGCTTCTGACTAACTGTTGCTCTGAGTTGTTAAAAAAAAAATAAGTAGAGATCCCAAGGGCTTCAAACTCAGAGTCACTTTCAGAGAGTGCGAAACCCACTCAACCAAGTCAATAAAATCACTCCAGTCCAACACAATAAATGAAGCTAAAATAAAAATAGTTATCAATCTTCAGCATTAAAATAAACCTCTTACATTTTCCCAAAGCAGTGTGATAGCAGTGGGTTTTAACTTTCCATTCTAGCCCATGTAATTTTAAGTTAAAGAAGATAAAAGCAATTACCTAAAGGAAGTAAGAGTGACCTAGTTGCTGGGACCATGCTTGCCCTTTCTAAAAGAGCAGTTACTAGAGTTCTGCCAACGGTTTGGCACACGGGTTTACAGGCGAGCATTGGATAGGGTCATGCCGGTTCCCCTCTGGCCTACCTTGGGTGTGTCCACGTGTCCCTGGGCTTCTTGGAGGCCGGCACTCACAGAGTGTGCGGCCTGGGGTATCTGACCGTTGGCCTGGGCCGGGCCTGCTTTAAGTCCTGAGAGGGAGGAAGAGAGACAAGAAGAAATGGGGACATTTCAACATTCTTGAAAGTTCATCTGAAAATATAAAGCAGTTTCTCTCTCCAGTGCAAAAGGAAGAGATTCATGGGCACAGTACGGTTAACTGAGGGCTTTATGAACAATCTGAGACTTTTTATGTCCAGATTTTGTGAGGCTCAACAAATGGTTCAGAAAAGAAAATGCTTTATACAGGCTACGAAACCTGGATTAACTGAGGGGTTAGAGAATAGTATGATCTCAAACACTTTTTGGTCATTGGAGGGTAAACCTTGAAATCTCTTTAAAAAATTCCTGTTGTTGAAATATATCTGGTTTCATACCCTGCTGTGTACATGAACAACTTTTGAACCTTATCCTCACCAAAAACTACTTTGGGCACAAAAATAGTAGAGGGAATTGAGCAAAATGTGCAACCTTCACCGAGATTCAGTCCCTGCCTCCCTCCGCCATTCTTAACCCACAAGGTTTGTGAAGGGCCGATCCCCGCCCTCAGCCTGGCAAATGAGAAGGTGGCATGGTGTGGGGTGAGGCCAGATGGCTTAGGAATGTGCATGAAACAGAGCCCTTCCCGGGGCTTTTTCAGAGGTGAGAATCTTTGAACTAAGATTTTTGCTGTGTGAAAAACTAAGCCTGGAGAGTCAGTGGCAGTCCTTGTCACTTCATGGGGACAGTGCCTACGAAAGAAACAGGGTCTTGATGAAATCACTCAACCCCTGGATCCTGCTGTGCCCTTGGACTTCCCTGCCCTTGGACTTCCCAGTTTTGAGTGTTAATAAATCTCTCCCCCTCCTTTTTTGTTGCCTAAACTACAGTGACTTGGATTTCTGTTAATTGCCTTATAGTGTCCTGATTAAAAATAGTTGCTGAAGTCATTTCGTAAGTACTAAAAAAGTCTCCACAGCTGTTGCCTAATATGAAAGAAGATTGTCATTTATCAAGAATCAAATGACTTGTTGTTAAGCACTCCGGATGTAGAACAATGCCTCTGTGTTTTTTCAGTTGGGTGATCAGAGCAGAAACATGTGGGTCCCATGTGGCTGATGCCTCCCAGCCAGTGACCTTGCTGGTGCACATGGTATGTTTCTCCAGGGCTCTGGCTCAACTGTGTAAGGAAGAGGGGACAGGAAAGGAGGAAGAGGAGGAGGTAGGCAGAAAGGGAGTCCAGATTCCCAGAGAAAAGGAGCCAGGTAAAGCTGGGGAGGCATCAGACAGAAGGGACCTGGGCTTACTCCAGCCCACTTGGGTGATTCCACAGCATGTTTTCCCCAGAAGTGGCTAGTGCCGGCCCTCAGCCTCAGTCCTTGTTCTGAGCTACCCTCCGTGGTTCCGAGGCCCAGGGGATCACTCCCCTGTGAGGGAAGCCCACTCTGCAGGCCCGTGACTCAGGCAGGCAGTTGTTGGGTAAAGAGGGGGGTTCCCTGACTAGTGCCCCAAACAGGGTGAAGTTCAAGTAAGTGCAGTCAGCTAGTAGACTCTGACCCTTGGGAACATTTTTTTAAATACTGTTCTTGAAGTTCACCTTCACAGCTTTTCGTGGGAGGAGGGGGTGTTGGGAGGAACATGTAGTTGATTTGTACTAGGCACTTTGGGTGGACATGGGTCCCTAAAACATTCCCTGAGAGCCCTACTGATTTTGTGCGATGAGTTCAGGTGAAGAGAGAGGCTTCGATAACAGCATTTGGCAAGAACTGAACTTTAAAAGATGGTGTCATTTCAAACAGGTCTTTGTTGATGAGATGTGATCGCAGTCAACGTGTGTGCATATGTGTGTGTATCTACTGAGAAGAATGAACTTCACCTTCTATTTGAACGTGGCTTCACTTCCTTCTAAACTCATCCTCAGTTCCTTCCATGCTGGTCAGTAATGTAGAACTTAAAGCCCTACACAGCCAGTGCCGATGGCAATGAATTCTAAGAATAAGCTAAGAGAAAGTCTAAGTTGAGGATTTTTTTTCTGTTTAGTTGCTCACGGAAGCATTTTATTAATAAGCAGGATGCGTCCCAGTATGGTTTATTTCTGAAATCTCAGAATATTTGTTCTCTGATTCTATAGCAGCACCAACGTGGGTTAATTTACCATCTACTAAAGGATATTCCATCGTGTACAAGATCCACCTTTTTAATCAACGGAAATCTCATCTGAGTGCTACAATCATATTCTTCAGAAATTAGTTTTAGGAAATCATCTAGAAGGAAGGAATGGAACTAACATTTATTGTGCATTTAGTATTAATGAAATCAACTACGTTAGTTTACTTAATCTTTAGAGAAACTCTATAAGGTATAAATCATTCGTTGTCCCAACCATCTTTGAATTCCAGCTGAGCATTTATTATCTGCAAGGCATTGCACTTGGTGCTGGGGAAACCACTACATACAAGACATAATAATCCCTGACCTCATGATTTCCATCAGAATCTAAATGAACAATCACAAAGGACAATTCATTTGAGACCTGAGGAATGTAGGGGTATAGCATCTGTAAAGTCTCTGAGAAAGGGTGGTGCTGGGGGCTTTGCAGAACTGGGAAAAAGCAAATGGTACATGTGGTATGAACAGAAACAAGGACAAGGGTGGAGAAAGAGGCAAGAGAGATGGGCAAACCCATATTACGCAGCTAAGGATTTGAGACTTTATCTCAGAGTGATGCAAAGCTTCCAAAGGGTTTTGGTAGGGGAAGGTGACATGGATGGGGAGGCACCTGCAAACACGGGCTTAGCTGGAGGCCAACTTGACTCAGCCAGTGTGTGAGTCCAAGTGAAAGAGCACGGTGGCTTGGATTTGATGGCAATAGAAATGAAAAGACAAGGACAGCTTTGACCGATAATTAGAAGGTAGAATCAACAGGATTTAGGAGTAATTGGATTTGAGGGCGAGTGAGCTTTTATTGCATGTGTACTACAGGAGCAATTGGGCAGATGATGATGTCATTTACAGAATTAGAGAACAACGGTGGGGAGCAAGTTGGGAGGGTGAGCTGATGAGATCAGTTTTACAGGCATTGGGTTTGAGTTGTCTGTGATGTATCCAAGGGAAGCCACTGAACAGACTGTTGAATGTATCTGTTTGGAGGTCAACAGAGAAGGCTGGGTTGATGTATATTTATAGGCAGTCAGCACATAGATGGTACTGAGAGTGAATTAAATCACTTAGGGAGATTGTGTAAAATGAGAAGAAGGTGAGGATTGACTGGGCCTTGGGTAATTTAATGTGGAGTAGAAGAAGATTAGTTAGTAGAGGAAGATAGAAAAGAGTGACCAGAGAAGGGTGGGGTGGGGTGGGGTGGGGGACCTGGAGTGAGTGATATTTTGAAAGCCAATAGAGGAGATTATTTCAAGGAGGAGTGTCCAACTGTGTTGGTGTTGCTGAAAGGTTAGATAAGAAGAGGAATTGGCAATAGCTGGATTTAGCAACATAGAGGCCACTGGTGAGATTAGCAAGAGCATTTTCCATGGGGTAATGGAGGCTGACCCTGACTGGAACAGGTGGGAGAGAGAGTGGGAAGTAGAAAACAGCAAATGTGGTCCACCCTTTAGAATAGCTGTCAGGTGGGCAGTAGCAGGAGGGGGATGTGGCATCCTAGGAAGGTTTTAAAATTTGTTTGTTTGAAGAAGGGAGCCATGTTGGTGAGGAGAACCTGGTAGAGCAGGAGAGAAAGTAGGAGAGAAAGGCATGCTTGTCCTGGGTTCCTGGCATAGAACTTCTAAAACTCCTGTTATCTCCCAAGTGATCTAAATATCTGCTATTCATGAGCCCCTAGGATCACATCTGAGTTTATGCTAACACTGTGGCTCAGAACAGGGGCTGCTTACCAGAAAGACCCTAACCTCTGGGGAGTTGATGGGGGCTGGAGACTGAATTCAGTCATGTAGCCAATGATTCAATTAACTGTGCCTGTGAAATGAAATTCCAATAAAAAATCAGAGAGGGAGATGCACCCTAATTCCTCAGGAAGGGTACATGGGAGCCCTGTACCCAGGACCCAGCTGGACCTGATCCTATGTGTCTCTTGATTTGGCCAGTCCTGACTTATATCTTTCATAATGAATCTGTAGGCATAAGAATAGCATTTTCCTGATTTCTGTGAGTGTTTCCAGCAAACTGTTGAACCTGAGAGGGTCATGGGAATCCCCAAATTTGTAGGCAGGAGGCCAAAAGTGTGGATGTCCTGGGGGCTCCTGAAGTGTGGCTGGCATCTGCAGGAAGGGCAGCCTCCTTGGGGGCTGTGTCCTTAGCCTGTGGGCTCAGAGCTGCACCACAGCACAGCAGGTGGTGCCAGAATGGGGACCAGAGCATGCATGCAGAGCTGCCCTTGTTAGGAGGTAACATGATGGCCTCAGCCAGGATGGGTGCGCATGCAGGCAACTTATTGGGTTTCATGGTGGGAAGTAAAAGGAGGTCTCTTTTGATAGTTCCATTTTCTCTGATGAGAGTAAAGGAGTTGCAGGTTGGAAGTCTGAGGAGTGTGAAGAACATGTAAAACATTTAGGGAAACTAGAAGGTTTTATTGACTGGAGCATGTTTCTTCAATGTTATTGACATTTGGGACTAGAAAATTCTTCGTGTGTGAGTAGTCTTGTGCCTTGTAGGACAGGCAGCATCCCTGCCCTCTACCCATTAGATGGCACTAGCATCCCCCAAGATGTGGCACCCGGAATGTGCTCAGACATTGCCAGTGTTCTCTGGGGGACAGAGTCCAGAGAAACTGGCCTAGAGAAGCATAGTAAGATGGACAGGCGGTGTTAGCTCCCATCTGGGGTTGATGTCCACAAATCTGTGGTGGGGTCAATGTCTGTCGTATGTAGAGCCCTGTAAGAGGAAAGGATGTCTCAATCCCTCTTCCCACCTGGAGATGTCTTGCTCCTCCTGCCCCTCCTGTTTTCACCCTCTGCATTTACTAGGTTAACAGTGGGCAGCATCTCTGTGGGGCAAGGACAGCCATTTCGTTCTCTCCCTTTCTTCCTTCATCCCATCTACCTCCATTGCTCGCTTCTCTTCTTCCTCTTTTTCTTTAAATGACTGGGGTTGTAGTGCCTTTGACTGACTGAGACTCAGGGAGAAGGGACGTCTGTTTCAGGCTTTGAGTTTAAACCATAAGCTCTAGTTCATTCTTCCAGAGAGCCTTGAGTGAGGAGTTATGTTCACTAGCCCAGCTAATCAAAATGCAGAATTCTACTTCTGTGTTCCTGGTGCGTACAACCCTTTTTCTTGGGAACATCCCAGGAGGGATGCCTATAGTTGGATATGGGACCTGCGGGTGCCCTATCCTAACAGCATCTCACAACATCCCCAGACACCCCATGACTGCTGACATAAGCCCACAGTTGGCAGACATAAGACCCTGCCAGGGAGACTACTCCATTTCCATCCCAAGCGGGACTTGGGTGCAAGTCAAAAGTGGAATAAATTCAACTCTGATAGAACCACCCTGTGCTAGCATTTGACTCTGCAGGTTTGAGGGCTCAGCCTCCACAAGGGCTCAGCCTCACAGTCACACGAACTTCTGACCAGCCCTCTACAAGTACAGGGTCCCCTCAGGGACAATAATTCACTAGAATGACTCACGGCACTCAGGAAAGTGCGCATTTACAATTACAGTTTCATTATAAAGAATACACGCAGGGCAAGGTCTGGGAGGGCCCTGACGTGGAGCTCCCAGGCCCTCGCCCTGAGGAGTCAGGGCCCAGCCCCGTCCTGCCACATCAGTATGTTCTCCAACCAGGAGGTGCCCCACGCTTCAGTGTCCGGAGTTTCCAGTGGGGCTTCATCACATCTGCACGACTGACTTAATCACCGGCCATGTGATCAAGGTCAATAAAGCCCATCCTGGCTCCCAATCAGTCCCAGTGACCTTTTATTTACTAACTCTCCATGTATTTACTGTATTGCATGCAGGCTTGTGAACCCTGGAGCACAATGTGGAACACGCAGAAATGGTTTTTGTTCTTTGGAGACTTAGAGTCTGGTGGAGAGTCTAGGCAATGAACAAACTAATGAATACCTAAACTTACAAATTATGACAAGTGCTCTGCAGGAAACAGCTTGGCCAACACTTCCAGGAAACGCACCGTACACAGAACAGCCAGACCGGATGCATGTGATAAAAGCATCTTTACATGTTGGGTCAAGTCGACCTCACGGCAGCTTCCACAATTTCAAGCTTGTTTTACCCTTTGAAGCAGCAAAGACCATAAATGCTGGCTTTTGCTGTGACCACCCTTTATCACTGGGAATGATGACTGGACTCTTCTGCCACAAATGGTTGGCTCCAGTGTTTTGGACCATTATTTATCATAAAGATAAATGTGTTAGCATTTCAGTTCAGCCACTGAGGAGATACTAGATCTAGTTTCTCTCAGCTTCAGTTTTCTCATCGGTGGCATGGGGGTAATAATGGATACTTTGCAGGGCTGTTGTAAGAACCAGAAACTATGCAACATGGCACACAGTACCTACTTCGTCCCTCAATGTCCTGTTCTCCTTAGAAATACAAACAAGTAGCTGTCCTGCTACCTTTAAAATGTGATGTCCAGGACTGGGTACAAAGCTCTAGCCATGATGTCAATGAGACAAAACCTCAGGGGATGATCTGGTCCTTGGTGTGGGCAGTGTGCTGGGGACTGACGAAGCCTTGGACAAATAGAACATTTATACTCTGATGAGACACTCCTACCAGCTCACCCTAAATTGGTGACCAACATCTTATCCACAAGCATCCTATGAAAAAGGGTCAAAGCTTTGCTAAACGTCACTTACGGAGAAATGGATGCAAGTGTGTGTATGTGCAGATCTTGAGCCTGACTGTCAGAAGGGAAATGTATTCTGCACTGTCTACTGAGTTCTGCTCGTCTGGAATGTGTTGGGTAAGCTTGAACATTAGCTCTGAGCTTGAAGCAGTGTCAGGATCTCTGCTCTGGGTGGTACCTGTAGAAGGCGGAGCTGGGGTGGCTGTGTTGATGGTGCCCATGTTTGTCCACCGAGAGGCCAGCCCGGCCCTGGCCACGGCCCGCTGGTAGTTATCATAGAGAGTCTTTCCATACTAGGGAGGAAACACAAGAGAAACAAGACAGTTATCTGTTTTTCCTGGATTCTGCACTCAACTGAAATTTACATGTTGAGAGAAAAAAAGTACTTCATGCTCCTCTTTTTCCTCCTTTCCCGAGTTTTTTTTTTTTAAATATATTTGACCTTGAACAATATGGGTTTGAACTGTGTGGATCTACTTATATATGGACTTTTTTGTGTTTTTTTCTTCCTTATGATTTTCTTAATACCAGTTTTTGTCTAGCTTTATTGTAAGAATACAGTATATAATGCATATAACATATAAGATATGTGTTAATTGGCTGCTTATGTTATTGGCAATTTCATTCAATAGGTAGGCTACTGGTAAAGTTTCTGGGGAGATAGAATTTATATTCAAGATTTCTGACTGTTCTGGGGTTGGTGCTCCTGGGTTGTTTAAGGGTCAGTGGTATCAGTATTTCAATAACAAATCCACAGATTGCTTCTTTGTGTGTTAAATGATTTTCCAGATTAGCGGAGACAGTTCATACTTTTACCTAGACATTGCGGGAGAGCTTTAGCTATGTAATTCTGATTACATATGTCTTTATATAATTCTACACCTCGTGCATGTAATCATATCTCATGTTTCTTAAGTACACACTACATTTGCAATGCTCTCCATAAGTAAATAAAGATCTGAAAAGTCTCGTGTGAAAGTAAATCCTTCATTCTCAGGTCATTGGAGAGGTCTGTGTTTCTATCCCTCTTACCTACTTAAAAAACCCAACAGGCAAATAAATAAGATAATGCCAGTAGCATCAGCCTACCAATGGCATTGACCTATTAAGTATGAGTCAAGTGTTTCACAGGAGCACAAAGACTAGACCCCTCCAGGAAGCCAGTCGGCAGATTCAAATGCAAGGTAGGCTGGAGTCCAAACGCTCACTCACCTTGGCGATCCTTATCCCCGTGACCCACTGGTTTAGCGCTCTTCCATCATCACAGCAGAGATACTTGATGTACTGGGACTCCTTCTGAATTTGGGGATGCTGGAAAAAGTCATTTCAGAGACCCTTAGTAAACTATTCATTAGCGTCTTTCAAAATAGTTTTTTAGAACTTTGAATTTATTGGTGTGATACTGGTTAATAAAATTATAAAGGTTTCAGGTGTACAATTTATAATATTTCAAAAAATGTTAAAACTTTAACAATGTATATGATTTCCTGAGATGGTGGCAAAAATTATTGGGAGCAATTTTAGGGTTAGGAAAATGGATACTTTCAAAATGGACTAAGTTTGGAAAGGATTCAAAAAATCTGGGACTTCTTACTATTTTGTCAATAATAATTCTCATTTCTGCTTTTTCAACTTTTGCAAACTTTCACATCTATCATGTTCTGATCCCCACAAGAAATCTGAGTTATTTCTCCATTTATCAGATTGGGGAATTTACCCGATGTAATTCTTATGTCACAAAATTAGTAGTGTTTTTGTGACTCCCAGTCAATCCTGGGTGATTTCTGCTACCAGGAATTATCCTTCCTTAAATGTCATCTCCTATCCAAATGGGCCATTTTGGCCTCGGGATGGATGACCTGGAGAAGGAACAATTCTGACCAGTCTCAAGTGGCCCTGACTTTGGGTGTTGCACTGGGAATCAGCCAGGCCTCCTCGAAGCTCAGGGTCAGTGAGGACAGTGATGTGGGCAGACACGAAGGGAAAGAGAGACACAGATCCCTGGTCCTACAGGTCAGCTTGCATTTGTCTTTCTGAATCCTCGCTGCCTTTGTAATTTCTGTTTTATGTCTTTGATGGCCTGTGTGCTCCACCAGGGTGGGAATCATGTCCGCATTCACTGCTGAGGACCCTGGAGCTTAACACTTGACCTGGTACGTGGTCGGTATTCCAGTCCAGAGGTGGAAATAATTGTTAAAAGAAATAAGGAAGTGCAGGAATTCCTGTTCATCCAGAAGTCTTACAGACATAAGGCAAGGGGCAGGCAACTGAATCTAGTTTCTAAGATGTGTACTGCGTGCATTTTCATGGGACACTGTAGTTTTTCATTTAGCTTTATGATGTAGAAAATGGTTTCCACGCACAACCATTTTGCGTGTGTGTGCACACCCATGCTACCACTTTTTTTTCTTCCTCCAGTTCTCAGAGGAGTTTGTTACTCCTGCTACAGGATAACCATGAAATTGCCGGTGGTGCTCCAAGTGAGATGGAATGCCACAGAACCGGAAGCCACCTCCTGTGGGCAGGAAGCTGGTGAAGCTGTCCGCTTCTTCCCTCAGGGTATTGCACAGACCTCCCCACTTCACTTTTGCTTTTGGCTTAGTCACTGATCTTCCAGGGAATGGCTATTTTCAAAGTTGATCTAAGCCAAGGGCATTGTGCCTTGAACTTCAGTTTGAATCTGAGAAGCAGCATTTGCACTGGTCACCTTGCTGATCTACCTAACGACACAGCAGCGAGAGTCAGTGGAGTTGCTGTCTGCGCCCAGAACAGACCACAAGATCCACAGAGACTCCGAGAGCTTGATGAGAGGTCAGTAGTTTTTGGCTTTACAAATGAGAAAACTGAGGCTCAGAGAAGTTACTATGTATTTTACCCTGTGGTCCTCTAGAACCTTGGGATCTCTTGTCCCACCCCCTAGAATTTATGCATTTATAGCCAAACGATTAAGCCAAAATTCCAGACTCTAAAGATACCTCAGAAAAATTCAGAAAGTGTAAAGAATTCCTGCTTTAGGCTTTTGAGCCAATTGAAAAAAGTCTAACTTTATACTTTTAGCTTTATATAAATGGTTCGCTTTATGGAGATCCCTCGGCCCTTAGAATTTGTGTCAGCATTACTGGAAGAACAGTCAATTTCTATTTAGGTACAAGTCCCCTTTCTTGAGTTCCAAGTTAGGCTCCCTAATGTTACCTGTAGTTTTCCATCTTTACCGGCAGATGGCAGCAAACACCTTTGAATGGGTTTTGAATGTGTAACAATACATTGGGGTTCAATGCTCCCTCATTAAACTGAACAGCAGATTTTATTTGTATAAATGTTACTCCAACTAAGCATCTTCTTTGGAGTTCCTTAAAACTGAAACTGTCTCTCAACTCAGATAGTGTGGCCCAATAGCAAAAAAGGATTTGTTAACATTAATTAATCAGAAGGTCAGCAAAAAAGGATTTGTTAACATTAATTAATCAGAAGGTCAGTCATATTGATGAAAAATACACTAAGCTGAGGATTTATTCCCTGAGTGGATTGTGACATACCACAAATGCCTGAAGTGCTCTCTTCAGCCATGAAACTCACAAAACCAAACCAAAGTCCTCTTCCCACACCAGAAACAGAGTTCCCCAACTTACAACAACCTTCTTGTTCTGTCATATAAGAGGGGTGAACACGGGCTTTTTCAGCAATTTAATGTTTATAATGGTTCTTAGGAAGCACTTTTTTTTTTCCTGAGAAGGTAAAAAACTTGACATTGTTCCCTTGGCCTTGCTATCTTAAAAGTCTGGGGTTTTTCTTTCTTTCTTCAGTGCCTGTCACAAGAGAGCCAGGTCCCAGGAGCAGACTGCAACTGGCCAGTGCTCGCGGCAAACTGCACGAGGCAATGGCCTGTGTAGAGGTGTCCACTTAACCAGTCCTATAAACGGTCTCATCCAAGTAGGGTGAAATGCAGCCCTTCCCTTAAACATACGGCTTTTGAGCGTAAAACAGAGGCAAGGCCTCTTGACCTTTAATTCTAACAGTGGCTCCTGCTATGATGAGGAGGTGGGTGTCCTGATCTCACTTCATTTTCTCCAACATTCATGGGGTTGGTCTCACTGATTGCCTTAGACCACATGCGTACTATGAACATATACAGCAGAATTCAGCGTCAGATGAGCTCGAAGGTCTCTTGCAATCCTCAGATTTTATGGTTCTAAGATGAACTACCAGTGGGCATCAGGCTCCTTCCCGGCTCCCAGGGCATCTTAGAGCAAGTCGCTGTGCTGGTCCTCTAGTCACGTCTTGGAACCTTCCCTAGGGGTTGCTGCCTGACTGCGCCTTTTATTGAAAAGTCATTTGCAAAGTGGTTTAAGGGAAAAAAATGCTGGTTCAGTACCACTGGGCAGACTCTTCTGCAATTGGGTTGATTGTTCCTGACCAGAAAAAGAGAGAAGCTCAGAGCAGAACATGGAGTTGGGGCAACTGCAGAACGTTACTGTTAAAAGGGAACTTACAGGCCCCTAAAGTTACAAACGAGGAAACCAAGGGCGGGGAGGGTAAGCCATGTGTCCACATCCAAGGAGAGAGGCAGAGCCGTGACTAGAACCCAGGCCCCATGCATTCAACAGATACCACTGGGTGCTGGGAAACATGCCAGCCCCTGGGTAAATAAGGGTGAGTAAGGGAGGCTTACTCATAAGTAGGAAGGGGCCCCTGGGGGTTGTTGCTGGGTCGGGGACACATGTAAACAAATATGTGATTACTTAATGGCATGGTAAACTTCATAGTAAAAGTTTGAAAATGAAGGCAGAGAAAGGCTCTTTGGAGGAAGTGATGGAATGTTGCAATATGTTTAAGGAGCCCCTAGAAAGTCTGTGTGGCCAAGGTCTGGGAGCCAATGGAAAGGGGAGGCAGTTACTAAGCTCAACAGAAGTCAGAGTCCAGGGCCTTGTGTCAAATTAGCCTCTGGACTTGACCTCTAGGCAGTGGGTCCAGCAAACACGTTAAAACAGCAGAGTCATACAGATGGAGCTGCTGGCTCTGCGGGGGGTAGACCGGACTGAGGAGCACGAACAGACAAAGAGAGCAGGGCTGGATGAGAGAGGTCTCCGATGGAGAATGAGAACTTGATGATGGATTGGACGAGGAAGGAAAGAGAAGAGGCTTCAAGGATGATTTCTCTATTTCTAGCTTGGAGAAGTAGGTGGGTATTATGGGTTTAATTGTGTCCCCTCCAAAGACAAACTGAAGCCCGAAACAGAATCTTTGTTGATTGATGCCCTTGTAAGAAGAGGAGTGAAAGCACAGACAAGGACAGAGGAGACCCAGGCGATACTGGAGGCTGACAGGACCTCAATGCAGCTGTGGCCCAGGAATGTCAAGGGTCACAGGAAACTGCCAGAAGCTGGGAGATGGCACTGACCGGATTTTTCCCTCAGGGCCCTTCAGAAAGAACCAACCCTGCTGATGTCTTGATTTTGAACTTCTGGCTTCCTGAACAGAGAGAGAACACATTTCTGTTTTTTAAGTCACCTAGTTTGTTGTACTTGGTTACGGCAGGCACTGGACACTAATCTAGTGGGTGACGGTATCATTGGTCTTGAGAGGCACTGAGGAATGAAGGAGTGGGTGAGGGGGAGACAGGGCCCTGACAGGTTACGGCCACAGGGCCAGGACTCAAATTCCAGTCTCTCTGGTAGAGCTCCCTGTGGTCTATTGTGGTCAGTGAGCTCATACCGAACAAAAACCTTCTGGGCTGGACGTACCAGTAGGCACGTGTCCATCATGCAATCTCTTAACACGCCTCTCCATAGCGTGAATTCCTTTTGAAAGGTGTGCATGTATTCCTTGAATTCTGTAAATTGGCTTATCCTAATGAAATACTTGCATATCAAGAATTTTTCAAGATTTGTATTTTTTTTTAGAGAGAGAGAGGAAGGAACAATTTTTTTTGCTAGTGGACAGAAAGGGAAATAAGTGACCAACATATTCATAAACAAATTAACTTCTCCAAACCATAATAGAGCCTTATACTCAGCAACTTAACAAAAATTCTCAATATTTTGGGAAGGAAATGATACACATGCAAACGAGCAAGATGAGCAGGGTGTCTGCTCGTGAAGAGATCGTCTTGGGGACAGAACTGCTCATTGTCCTGAGAAAAAAGGAAACACATGTCCTGCTGGGGTTGTTCCTGACTCTTGCTGCTTCCTCGACCCATGGTGCTGCTGGCTTCTCCTCTCCGAGCTTCTCCCTCGGTGGGGAGGCCCCAACTCTTTCCTGAAGACACGGGCCTTGGATATGAGGGCTTCAGAAATTCTAGTCAATGTCCTGGGTCTCAGCATTGCCATTCTCAGTGATGCCCAGGACAACCTGTGTCCCAGTCTTAGAACTCATCTCAAGCTATGGCTCTAGGACCCAGTCCCAAGTGTGTGAGTCAGCACCAGGGACTGAGCCTGTTCGCTGTGTCTAAATTCCCTTCTTAGGGTCTCCAGTGTCTGAAATGTCATCTTTCTCCTGCCAGACAGCCCTCTTCCAGCCTCTGGCCCCGGCCCTGGGGTTGGGGCCCTTGCTCCTTCTGACAACGTTCATCCTGTTCGTCCACTTGGAAGGGTATTTCATCGCCAGCTGAATGTCACTGGAGAGCTGACGTTTAGAGGTAGGACACTTCCTAATGCTCTGAGCACAAAAGCTGACTGTGCTGAGGAAGAATGAAGATTCCTGGGCCCCACCCTTAAAACATTTTGATTTGGTGGGTCCTGGGCCCCAGCACTTGTATTTCTAACAGGCCTCCCCTGACTGTGATTCAGCCAGTTTGCTGACTAGCATTTTGAAATGACTTTTTCCACTATAGGCTCTTCCTATTATAGGCTCTTTCCAGACCCTTCTCACTGCTGGAGAGATGTGGGCAACGTTTCAGAGATGAAGTGCCTAGAAATGAGGGCCTCTGAGGGGTGATTTCTCAAGGTCTCAGGATTCCCAATGAGGGCCGCGGGGTCAGAGAGGAACATTAGAGATATGGTTCAAAGGCATGAGCAGTGGGGCCGAGGTGATTAAGAGAAGATGTGTTCCTAGTAAACAGAGTCTGAGAGAGCAGCAGCCTCTGAGCCACCACCTGGCTTCTCATCCTGGCCCAGGCCCCTTATCTATGAACTCGGGAGAATCACGGCTCTCACTGCCCAAGAGTGATAAAAGGATTAAATGAGTTAACTTAGGACATTCTTAAAACATGCATTCTAGACGCTATATAAGTGTTTGCCATTATTCTCATTACCCTTTTTATGTCAGGAACAGAAGAGGAAGTGCAGGAACCTGAAGTCGGTGGGGAATTAATTCTCCTCACCTTCTCTTCCTTCTGGCCCCTGACCCCAGCAGACCCCCACCTCAGGGAGCCTATTCTCATTTCTGGGATGATCCCCTCCAGGTAATTCTCATTCACTATTTTACTCACATCTTTCGGTCTAAGGTCACTCCCTTGGAGAGTCATTCTGTGACTACCTCATCCACAGAATTGCTGGCCCTAGTCCTGGCACATGCATCCCCTACCCTGCTTCACACCCACAGCTGCATTGAGGACCCGGGATAATGCGCCCAGACATCACATTACATTTTTTTTTTCTTATTGCCATTTCCCTATCACTGAAAGTAAACTCCAGGAGGTCAGGGATTGTCATGTATCTGGTTCCCTTCTGTATTCCCAGCACATGGGCGGTGCTTAACAGGTAGCTGGCATTTGACAAATAATGAATGAATGAAGGAAGGAATCTGGCTCTCTCTCTCATCCCCCAGTCCCTTTGCAGCCATTGTCCTGGGACCACTCTGTCTAGGGCAGGCTTCTCAGCTGCTCACTGCTGACGTGCGCAGGCAGCCACTGCTTCGTTGTGGGGTTGCCTCGCGCATGGCAGCGTATTTGGCATATTCAGGACCTCTGCCCATCAGATGTAAGCAGTTATAGCCCTGCCCTGGTCATGACAAACAAAAATGTCTCTAGATACTGCTAATGGTCTCCTGTGGGGCAAAATGGCCCTGGTAGAGAAATGCTGGGGGTTTCAGGCTGACTGAGCTAGTACAGGGTGGTGGTCATTATCATCTGCATTGAAAGTGGATGCCGAGAAATGATGAAGAGGACTATGAACGTCTCATTGAAAACCGCACATTATCCCAGGTTCTCAATGAAGCCAATCGCTTCAACTGATTATTTGATGATGATGATAACAACAATAATAAACAGGAGTAAATGTGCAGGGAAAGGTCATTTAGAAGTCAAAATTATTAAATAAGATTTAGCCCAATTATTGTATTTGACTAAGAAAAAACCAAAAATTATCCAGAAAAAAGTTTTTCCCGTTTTTTATATTTTCTCTATTTTTCTAGGAAATCTTGTCAATTTCCTAATTTCTAAAAACTTTTTACAATGGAGTAGAAGTCCAATAAATACAGAACTGAAAATTTGATTCAGTATTATCAATAAAATTGTACATACAATTTTATTCAAAATGTGGAGCTTTCATTTTCATGAGTGATGAAGCTCAGGTACATTCATTTTACTTTTTTTCTTTTCCTTTTTTTAACTGTAATTATTGGGGAAACATTGGTTAATAAAATTATATAGGTTTCAGGTGTACAATTCTATAATCCATCATCTGTATTTTGTATTGTGTGTTCACCACCCTGAGTCAGGTCCCCTTCCATCAGCATTTTCCTTCTACCAGAGCCCACCCCCTACCCCTCTGGTAACCACCATGCTGACAGACATATTCACCGTAAAGTTGTAGACTCAACAAATAATCCAAACTGGTAGAAATGTTTCCTCATTTCCTATTTTGGCTTACAATAAAAAGCTTATTATGTATACTTGAGGTTAACTATATAACATTTAACATTTTTTCCTTAAAAGGAAATATTAACTCAAATTGCTTACAGACACAAGGTAAGAACTTCTTACACCATACCTTTAAAACAAAGCAGTAGTCAGTGGGTGCTTTATACTTCATTTTACACTGAATCCCATAGTAAATGTTGACATTTTCAAACTGTATAAAGCATGCCAGGTCTCGAGATGTCTGAAAGAGAAGGAAAAAAATAACCTCAACACACCTGACAGTTAATAGTTTTTCTAAAGTTGTTCTTGATGGTACAACTAAGAATGACATTTCAGTAGAAAAATAATGAATTTTAGGCAATTTATTGAAGCATCTACCACGGTTAGTTTTCTAAAAGCCAAGCCAGCATTTTAAAAGGTGAAAGAGTTCACCCAAGACAAAACCGCATGCCACAGGCTGGGAAGTGGCATGAAAATTACGCTCCGTTCTGGTACCTGCACGTGTACTCCAGGCTCAGAGCTGACTGGTTGACTTTGAGACATCGTTATTGATGCAGTCAAGACAAGGTGACCCGCCACCTCTTAAACAGTGAAATATTTCCTCCCGTGAGATTGATAAAATCCATCAGAAATTTCATTTTGACTTTTGCTGCTCTAAGTCAGTGATGGATTTCATGATTGAGCATTAAGGAAAAAAATGTCCCCTTCAGGAGGAACAATGAGAGGTAGGTCTGATGTCCAGTAAATTAGCACACACGTCATGCATTTCTTCAGGAGGAAAAAAGGTTCCTTTCTTGCTTTCTCTGTAAGGGCTGATGGTGTTGCTATGGAAACAGAAACCTCTCCTCCATGTATAATATGCGAAGACTGCATATTGTGAAGACTGCAACCTCTAATCTACATATTTGGTTACACTTCAATTACAAATTTGTTCTATTACTGCCCCCCATCACATTGCATAATTCTCTACCTAGTTAGTGAATAAAGAGTGAAGGGCAGAACTGTTACACCCCAGCACACAATTATTTCTTTATTTATAGTTCAATTTTTTGTATGATATTTTCTTCTGGATTTTCAAAGTTTTAGTTTTTTAATTAGAAAATAAAATATATTAATCATTATTTAAAGATCAATTCACATATACATATATAATAAAACGATAATCTTCCTTTTTCACTGTTTTTTCTAATTCCATTCTTTTCCCCCTGAGTACTATTGTTAATAGTTCAGTAGTGTTCTTCCTAATGGTTTTGGGGAAGCATTTACATGTATATGTGTATACATACCCACATACACACATACATATATTTACACATATACAATTTAAAAAATATGACTGAGACTTCACTATAAATACTGTTTCATACCAATTTACATTCCAACCTCCATGCAAGAGTGCCCATTTTTCTTATCCACTCCTGCTGAAATTTGGATGTTATCAATATTGTTAATTTTATCAATCTCATGGGAGGAAGTATTTCACTGTTTACATTTCCTCGATTTTAATGAGATACAGCAACTTTTAAAATATTTGGTGGCTACTGATATTTGTTTTTCTGTCAATTCTCATTAAATAAGCTTTGCTGTTTTTTTTTTAAGAGTATGTTTATCCTTTTCTCATTGATTTGCTGGCCTTTCTATTTTATGGATATTTGTACTTGGTCTTACTGGTGTCGGTTATACCGGCTGCAAATGTGCTCTCTGGCTCTAGAGCGAGTCTTCAGTTTCCTGTTCGGATCTGTGGCCACGAGGGAAAAACAACTTCATACAGTCGAATCTGTCAATTTTCTCCCTATAATTTTGAGCTTTTAGTTTTGCTTAAGAAGACTTTCCCACCACCACATTATGAAAATATTAATCTATATTTTCTTATAAGATTTTATATTCCCCTTTTTCCTAAGTATGTGTCATCTAGAATTTAATTTGGAACCTGTTGTAAAAGGCAGGGAACTATTTTTTCAAGTGGACATACATTTACTTCAAAGCTATTGATGGAAGCCAAGTTCTCACCCCACTGCTGTAAAATACTTTCTTCAGTTTCCTCTGCATTAGATGGCGCTCTGTTCACCTGCCACGTTTGTCTCCGCCTCTCCTGCTCTCGTCTTACATTTTTTGGCGGAGGAGTTCTACCTCGGTGTGCTTCATAATTTGGGGGGTATGACCTTTCTGATTAATTTTAGAACCTGTCACTTCAAGTAAAAAGAATACAATGGAAATTTTTCTTGAGATTGAAAAATAGAAAATTGGGGGGAAGAATTAATATCTTTTCATCTAGTAACATGTTACATTTCCTTTTATTCAGTTATTTTGCTTCCTTTATTAAATTATATATTTTATGACATGTAAGTCTTCAACATTTGTTGTTGATTGTTAGGTATTTTGTATTTTTTGTTCCTATTATGCATAGAACCTTTTGCATTATATTTTAATTAGCATATTGTTTGTTTAAAGGAAAAGAATTCCTTTACACAAGGAATTCTTATTTCTTATTTGGTAAGTTATTTGATCCTAATAGTGTTTCAGTTGAGTGTCTTATATTGTGAATAAAGAGAATTTTTGCCTCTTTCTTTCCAATAATTATATTTCTTATTCTTTTTCTTGACTTTCTAGTTAATTCCTCCATTCCAGTGTTAGCAGCCATGAGAGAAATTACCCTTGTCCTATTCCAATGCGAACACCTCTAATTTTATCACTAAGTGTGGTGTTTGTGGTAGATTTATTTATGCCTCATTTGTATGTAAATGCCAAAGATGTAACATTTCTAAAGTAAAACAAAGTATTTGTGGGTCCACTGTTATGTCCCCAGCCTGGGACTGGACTGGAGATGCCATAGGCAAACAGTGTCGGCTCCAAGGTTGAGACTAAGTAGGAGCAGCAGCTGCCCTGGGCCGAGTATCACCCTTGAGGCCACCCCTGTGTTCCAACTGACACAGCAGAGTCCTCGAACAGATTCTGGGAGCAGACCTGGATATTCGGCATGGTTTCATCAGCACGGGACTGTGGGTCAAGCCTGTTAGAAGAAGGCTGCAATCTGTAGTGAAGGCAACATGTTTCAGCTTACCCCAGATACACGTGAGATTCTAAAGTTGTAAAGAGGTAAACGAAAGATAGAAATGGCCTGAGCCTTTGAAAAAGCTAAAGGTCAGAATGAGAGTTAAAGTTATTTCTAAGAAGAACTTATTGTTTGCTTATAGATTTGAGGTGCTAACCCTAAACCACCAAGTAGAAGTTAAATGATGTCTAAAGTCTTTTGCTAAATTAGATGGAAATATTTCACTAGAAATATTACCTTAGAGAACAGCTTAGAGAACAGGTAACCTTAGAGAACAGCTTACCTGTTCAAAGGATATGGTCTAAGATCTAAATGAAGATCTATCAAGACTTCTCCTACCTCTATGATTCCAATTAAGGAAGCTTTGCTATAATGACTATAGAACAAGAAGAGCATAAATACAGGGAGAAAAGTCCTTAGGAATAGAAACATAAAGTAACAAATTAATCTCTAGAAAAGTGCTTTGGCCATAACTTTTGAAACCTGATTTAAAAGTAGATAAAATTCTTCAACTTCAAGAGAGAGCTATGGGAAAAATTACAAAAGGATTTCTGGAACTCTGTCCCAATAGAGAAAGTATTTGTATAAAATTGTAATAACATCATTCTCACAGCAAAAAAGAGTGTACTTAAATTGCCACCTGAGGACTTCTTTAGTTTCACTTTCATGAAAGCTGTTTGTGCTAGTATTTTTTCTTTCTGACCTTAGTCTTCCCTTTAGGTACGTAATAAATTCCAGAAGCTCGTAAAAGAAAATAGCGCCTTTTCCAGGATTTCTTTCCATCCTCTTTCAAATAAAGGGCTCCTTCAAGCTCTGGCACAATGACGGATGTTCCACAGAAACTTTCCTGAAATTGAGATTTTGATTATATAAACACATGAAAGATAAAACACATTTTGCTCACATTTAAACAAACTGGCAAACTAGACTCTAAGCTAAAACTCATTTTTGTCTACAGTTTGATTGAAAGCATATGTTCTTGTTGCATGCTGTTTGTTTAAAGAAAGGGAGAATCCTTGATGCCTTAGAGTCTTGGCTCCTGAGGTAGACTTCAGGGCTTCCTGACCACTTGAGGCAAGGCTCCCAACCTCAGTTTCCTTACCTGCAAAAATGGAGTAATAATAGCCCCAACTGCATAAGGGAGAGTGTGAGTAGGATTTCGGTGTATTGTTACAGTAAGTATTAAAGGCTATTACTGTTATAAATTGGTAAATAAAAAAAATTATTACTTTTCCTATAAGCAAAAAGATTACTATTTCATTGCTAAGGAATAGAAAAATTACAATATATAATTCTGTAATAAAATATGGATAAGTCAGTAACTTATTCATGGGATGGCTTCTTATCGAAGGAGGCAATCATTAACACTGTGGTACCTGAAAATTTAGTGCCGAAGTGTAGATTTTCAAATGTCAAAACTTGCATAAATTTATAAATCTTTAAAAAAAATTTAAAATACTATATTTATTCATTTTCAGAGATGGAGGAGAGAGGGGGAAAGAGAGGGAGAGAAACATCGGTCAGTTGGCTCTCACACACCCCCAACTGGGGACCTGGCCTGCAACCCAGGCATGTGCTCTGACTGGAATTGAACTGGTGACCTTTTGGTTTACAGGACGACACCTAATCCACGGAGCCACACCAGTGAGGGCGAATTTATAATTCTTAGTAAATTTCTTGTAAAAGGCAATGTAGTAAAATTCCATATCATCCCATTTTCCAATTCAAATACTCAAAACTTTTTTTCGCTTTCTATTTTATAGCTCTCAACCTCCTTTCATTCAGTTTCATAAAGGTAGAATAACTTTTACTTTTGCATCATTCAAGTTCATTTATATGTAGTAAAGCTGGGATATGTTTTTTTATTGTTAACATTCCCCCCGGGTTTCTCCAGCTTTAGCTAGTATTAGTTGTCTTGTCAATATCTCTTAAATTGAATCAGATTTTTGGGCCAAATTAGAAAGTGGATAGGGCTGATTTTTCATAGCACGACAAGCATTTAAAACACTGCTGCAGCCCTATGACGAGAACTCTTCGGGCAACTGTATGAATGAAGGCATAATCAGTCCCTGCCTTTCAGCAGCTGATGCGCAAGCACTACAGACTGTGGCTGTGTGGGAACGCCCACAGCCCTCCCATGCCTGTCAGTCTCGTCACTGCTGGGTACACAGGCTCAGAACCTGAGTCTCCTCGCTGCTAGGGACACCTGGTGCCTTATCTTCCTCAGCTCAACCTGGAGTCTGTTTGGCAAATGCAGAAAGAATGTCCCCATTCCCTCTCTTGGGTCTCCTTGGTAAATGTCCACTGTGATCCTGGTCCCAGGACGCAGAACTTGTAATGTGTTTTCAGGACCCTGGGTGTGGCAGCAAGGCTCTGGTGCCTGACCCACTGGTACAGAGCTGGGAGAGCCTGGAAGGAGTAGAAACATGCATGGGAACCTGGGAAAGACCCTGGTGAGTGGGGGCCAGCACCCTTCAGCGTCTGAGAACTGACTCCGAGTGAGAATGTGGGCCCAGGCACCTCCAGGTCTTCTGTTTTATCAAGAGAAACCCAAAATCTGCTAACCTGGAAAGAGGTTGTGAAGGGCAAAGAAAACCTGTCTGGGGCCGCACTGTGCCTGCCCAGTGGTGACTGAGGTCTGGCGGCCTTCTGCATTGCATGCTGAGCAGGGCCTGCACTGGCAGCACAGCTGCTGTGTGAAAACTCACCAGGAGTTTCAAAGAGTCAGCCACTCAGTGAACTTCTGGAAGACAGCCCTACGGTGATGACCACAGACATCTGTACAGTAACTGACACTCTCTGCGTCCACTACCCCCTGGACCTCTGTAACAATTCAGTAAGATTCTAGAAACCATGGTTCTTGGACAATAGCACAGGGATGTCACAGGCACAGCCAGCCTTGTATCAGGTCTCTGCTTCCCGCCACACCTGGCTGCTGGGAGAGTGCCTTAGACTTCACTGCAGAGCAATCTGGAAATCCTTACATCTGACTTGTGTGGAGCACTTTAGTAATGACTCGTAATGAATGTTAGGAGATGAATTTTATGCAGACTCATAAATCTTTTAGTCAAGAATTACTAATCCAATTTCATGAAGAGTAAAATATATTGTCTACAACCATACCTTTAACTGCTGACTCAAAAAACCAATTTAATTATCTAAATAGTTATACTTTAGTAATAATGTGATTTAAAAGCCCAAGTTAAAATTTCAGTGTATCTCAGAACCACCCATTGCTCTGAGATGCAAAAAATTTAAAAATGGTTAACATCCTCCTCTTTTCTTCTATTCTGCAAAGTTAAACTTACCTCAAGTAAGCATTCCTTGTTCTTAGCATTCATTTTCTCATTTGTGTCCTTGCTTTCTTTTTTTCCTTTGTTATCCAAATAAAAATTCTAAATAAAATATTAAAAGATTGATCAGTTAGTCTTCATCACCACGCTGGCCTGCCAGGAAGTCACCACCTTGCTGGAGAGAGAAGATGTGCCTGTGGGAACAGCTAGGAACCACTGTGTGTGCTATCCGTCAACCAAGTGCCTAACCAGAGCATCCTGTGTGCTGCCTACCGCACAACCGGGCAGAAGTAACACTGTTTCCTCCCATAGTGCACCATCAACGAGGAAACAAACATCAGACCAAAAACACTAGCAAAGAGGACATGGCATCATTTGACTATTGAATTCCACGGCCTAGAACACAAGGCAAATGCTGGAAGCTGGGAGGGCCTACTACCCTGGGAAGAGCTGGGGGCTGCGGTGAAGCTGGAGCCCGTGTCTCAGGGCCAGGAGGGGACCCACTCCGGCTGGAGGACACCACACAGGAGTCCACGGCCTGTGGACTAGAGGTTCTGCTTATCAAGAGAAGCTTGAAGTCTGGATTTTCATAAATGTTGGCAAATAATTTTAAATTTAACAAACTGTGGGTCAATCACAACACAGAGTATGAGGCTTGGCAACTCTTAAGGACAGACAGAAGCAGAAAGGGCATTTCCCAAGAGGGACCCAGCCTAACCAGGCAAGAAAGGCCAAGGTTAGTTACTAGGCACTCAAAGACAGGCATGTGCTCTCTAAGCAGAGTTTGTATAAATCTGTGCATCATATTTTGTTAATTATGAATATCAATGAGGTGGCTGAAATGAAATGTTACATGCAAACATTTTTTTAAAAGTTGTGAGCATCTAAGGGTTAAATTTTACATAACTTTCACAACTGCAGTATCAATGTTCAGAGTGCTTATTATGTCATAGTTGAGGATTTTTAAGTGAAAATGTAGGGCTTTGTAAAATAATGCATGAAAAAATGTGAGAAAACTAGAACACATATCTCTGGAGCACAGTGAAGAAATTAAGGACCCTTGTGAGTATCGACACAAATGTTTATTTGCACCATAGGAGGGTTTTCCCATGTGGGATCCCCAGAACACACTGATGCTCTGTAAAACTCATGGTACTGAGCTCCCAACATACTGAAGTGAAATCTCTGGGTCAGGGCTTGGAATCTTGCATTCCAACATTCTTCCTGGATGATTTTTATTCATATTGAAGTTTGAGAACATGTATATTGGATGGAGAGCTAGGAAGCAAACTGTGGGCAAACAAAATTTGCAGAATTAAGATATCTCCTAAAAATAGAAAATATAAATATGGCAACTTGTTAACTTAAACAAAGGGAAAAAGTCAAGTACAATTCCTTTGATAATTCTTATTGAATTATTTTTAATGTGTATTTAAGACTTTTAACTTTTACTTGTTATTTGGAAGGATAGTATATTGTGAATTAATATAGGGTGATTTCAGATAGGGTCATTTCATATAGGGTTCAGATACTTTTTTTCCCTTTGTTCTCATCCATGGACATTTTTTTCATTGTTTTTAGAGAAGGGCGGGGGAAGGAGACAGGAAGGGAGTGAGCAAAACATTGATGTGAGAGAGAAGCATTGATTGGTTGCCTCCCATAAGCGCCCAGACTGGGGACCCTATGCACCCAGATCCGGGATTAAACTCACAACCTAGGTATGTGCCCTGACCAGGAATCAAACCTGCAACCTCTCGGTTATGGGATGACCCTCCAACCAACTGTTTCTGGCTGGGGCTCAGAAACTATTTTAATTTTGCATGTTTGGCTTGAAGACTGTGACTAGCCATAATAGATGACACGTGATACCTGCCAGGACTCAACTCTAAGGCCTTACAGGTACACTTTCATTCATCCATTCAAGAACCCCACAACACAGGTATAATTGCTATTTCATAGATCAGGACACAGAAGGATTAAGCAATTTACCCAAGGCCAGTCAGTGCCAGAGCTTTGAGGTTTTCATAATTCTCCTCTGCTCTAAATCCCACAGGAGAGAACCTAGCACTACAGTGCGGATGTACTTAATGCCACTGAGCACACTTAACAATGATTAAAATGGTAAATGCTATGCTATGTGTATTTTGCCACAGTAAAAAAAATGAGATGACTTAGTCCTAAGGGAGAATGCAGAGGGGGCTTCTAGCAAGCACAGCTTGCTGGGGAGTCTGGAAACGTGAATCACGATGAGTGGAGAGATGAAAAGAGGACACCAGGAAGACTCCGCGGCACGCGCTTTTCATCCTCATCTGGGGAAAGGACAGTACGAATCACTCTCTTCAGGGACAGGTGAGGGTCTTCCCCAGCTGCAAAGGGCCCCATTTTATGAGTCAGGATCTGCAGCTGTGCCTTTCTCTGAGACCCCTCTCTTTTTGAGCTTCTGAATAACTTCTTTCCCCTCCAGAGTGACGGTGCTACACTGTGTGTTTGTTCCAGTGAAAATGCAGGAACACAAGGTAAATCTGAGCTGAGAGGACCGATTGCCCTTGGGCCAGAACTCTTGCCTGTCATGTGGTCAGCCAGCTCACTGTGAGCTGCTATGCAGCGAGCAGCAGAACTCAGAAGTTAATTTATCTGTGGCAAAAGAAACTGTGGGCAATCTGAGTTGAATAACAAGAGAATCTTAAAATGGGAAATGAAAGTTTCAGTCACAGCTTGATTCCTTTTCTTAAAGCTTCTGAAAATGCAAGATTTGGGATAGCTGGGTAGGAAAAAAACAGCAAATACACTCCTTATTTAAATACCACCTTCTTGGAATAAAGAGTTAATCAAACCAATAGTTACCAGTCTAAGAATAAATATTTGTGAGTATCTTTTACATGTAAAACATCTCTGTTCTTAAGAAGCTTTCTATCATATTGAGAAGATAAACATTTATTTATTTATTTATTTATTTATTTAACAGATTATTTATTTATTTATTTTTAGAGAGGGAAGGGAGGGAGATAGAGAGAGAGAAACATCAATGTGCGGTTGCTGGGGGTTATGGCCTGCAACCCAGGCATGTACCCTGGCTGGGAATCGAACCTGGGACACTTTGGTTCCCAGCCCGCGCTCAATCCACTGAGCTACGCTAGCCAGGCCTTAGAAGATAAACATTTAAATAGACAGTAGGTAGATATATGAATGACTATATACTGGGTAGGGAAAAAGTAGGTTTACAGTTGTGAGTATGCAAAACAGTTTACTCCTGTGTTATTTATTATTGTATTATTTATTATTATTAACCTACTTTTGCCCACCCCTGTACGTATTTATAGATGGGGGAGCTATAGGAGGTACTCCATAAATTTAAAATGAGTCAAGTTCTGCATGTTTTCAGAGATGAAGAAATCACTGTGGGCCAAGATGGCCAAGAAAGACTTCACAGAGGAGGTCAAATCTGAACTAGATCTTGAAAGATGTTCAACATTCAGATAGGAAAAAGGGAATAAGGAGAGCATTTGAGGCAGGAAGGAAAGCATGTACAAAGGCCCGGAAGTGGTTAAACACTGGGCATCTTTGGACCACCAGTGAAGAGCTGGCCTGGCTAGAGCTGGCGGTTAACACAGCACACCCGACCAAGACCAGACCACAACCCCTGATTCTTCTCTTCTTTCCTGAGACAGACTGCTCCTGCTGCCTGTGTTCAGGTGACATGCAGTCTCCCCCCTAGAATGGGAAGTGTGTATTTCCCTGTCCCACTCACGCTGGGTTTGGCCCTGTGGCTTGCTGTGGCAGTAGCATGAGGGTGGTGGTGGTGTGGGGGGACAGTGTGTACAGGACACTGTGAGCATCAACTGTGAGCAAGAATTTGAGAGGCAGCGGCATGTTTCCACTCAGTCTCCCGGCCTCTTGCCAGTCACTGTGAGAAGACTGTGTCACAAGTAGCTGCTGGGCTGAGGACAATAAGGGACGTGTGGAGCTACATGAATCTGACTCACAATCTGGAGCCAAGGGCAGTTGACCTGTGGACACAGGTGAGAGGAAAGGTCTGTTGCTATAAGCCACTGGGATCCCAAGATTGTTTTATGCAACAGTCTAATCTACACACCCGCTCTAGCTGGTAAAAGGACCTATCCACCAAAGCCAAGAGCAGACTTTCCTTTAAAGCTGTAGCCATCCTGAGGACCCAAGATGTGATCACTACATGACTTTTCCTCCAGCTGGGCCTAGTCCTGGGAGGTAAAGATGAACCTGGGGGGAGAGGGAGGCTGGAAAGGAATGAAGGGAAGACAGCATGAGGTAAGGTCTGACACGAAGGTTGGCACCCTTCTACACCTGAGGGGAAGAATGAAGCTGTGTCCCTTATTTCTCTCTTGGCTCCTCACTCAAGCAGCCAACAGCAAACCACAACCACCACTGAATTTCAGTTAAGAAACAGACCCAACAAAGGAATGGAAATTGCCAAAAATATCAATAGTAATTATTGTTAGAGTGTGGGGTTATGGATGATGTAAATTTCCTCTCTCATTTTCCAACTTTTTAAAAACAATAAATTGATATTACTTTTGAAGCCAGAAAAATAAAAGATGTTATTAAAAGAAATACAAAGTGATACAGTAAGCAGCCAACCTTATATTAGTCAACTTAACCAACACCTTCTCTGAAAAACAGATTCTTCTAGGTTTTAGCAAGAAGAATAGCTAATGTGAATACTGAGTCCTTCTCCCACTCCACGCACAGTCTCTAGAACTCTTTTGGTTTCAGGCAACCTCACTGGCCTTTGCATAGGAGGACTACATGAAGCATAACTAGGAAAGCAAAACCCCTTAGGTTACAGGAGACCCCCATTTGAACATCTGGCCCTTAGGAGAAATGGACCACCTGTGACTACTATAGGCCGGGAAGAACTTTCCTGATGACACCCAGATTGAGAAATGAAGCTGCTTCTTTAATAACGTTGCTTTTTATTCGGATAGTTAGAGTCTACTGCCGCAACACACTTTACCCAACTGGGGCCGAGCTGCCTGGGTAAGAGGGGCCCCTGTTTTGATCCCACACTTTAGAGAGTCCCTATTCTGACCCTCAGCCAGCCACTCCCTCTTGTTGTGAACCTAAAACTGCTCTAAAATATAAAGCTTATTTAAAAAACCCTTATTTATGTACTTTTTAAATGGATACTGGTGGGAATTAAATTGCCATTGGACTGTGGCTAGTTTTCATTGGCTAGCTTTTTAAAATGTCAAAATTTATAATAAGCTGCACACTGCCTTATTTGCATTTATCTAAACTTGTGTTGTTTGGAAGTGCAGAGTGAGGAGTTTCTTGGTTTGATGGACTAACACTGGACACCCAAAGGGATGTCCAACTCCCAAAGCAGCAGCCAATGATATATATCTGTGGAGAATATCACACAGAAAGTGAAATAAAATCCAGGGATCCATCAGATGCAGAGAATGTGGATAAAGAATAATATATAAGAAAAGAACTAAAAGACTGGTGCTTTTTAAAAAAAATCTTCACTGGAGGATATTTTCTTATTCCTTTTTAGAGAGAGACAAGGGGAGAGAGAGAGAGAGAGATCGATGTGAGAGAGAAGCACCGGCTGGATGCCTGGACTGTGTCTGGACTGGGGCTCGTATGCCCCAGCCAGGGATTCTACCAGCCCGACTGCAGACCAAACCTGCAGCCCAGGCATGTGCCCCAACTGGAAATTGAACACACACAACCCTTTGGTTGTGGGACGATGCTCCAACCAACTGAGCCACACTGGCCAGGGCAGGGTTGGTGGTTTTCAATGCTTGATGAAACATGGAATCCGGAGGAATATCTTTGTTTGCATTTGGATATGCTGCTAATGTGGTATAGCTTTTGATTAATATACTTATCTTTATGAATACAACCATATACACATGGTTTCATTTAAAAAACATATTGTATATAGGTATCCACTAATTTTTATATAAAGAAATTATTTTTTGCTCAATTAAAAAATTGTGTTGAAGAATTGTGTATGTCAACAGCAAACAGGCTACGGGTAGGCCAAGAGCACTGACCTTGGCATCATGAGTGGAGATGTCAAGGACAAAGTCAGAATCGGAACTCTCAAGCACTCCAGGGACCTGCGTGTGCAGACCTTTGAGAATATGTACCCTTGTTCCCTTAAGGGCACAGAGGATGTCATTTGCCATGTAAAGCAAGGTGGCTGGTAGACAGCACAGGGCTCTCCAGGAACAGTGGCCTGGGCCATGCCTTTGCACATACTTTTATACAGAGAGTAGAATAATAATTTGGCAGATGGCAGGAAATCCAATGAGCAGTATCTTTGACTACTGTTGGTGGCTTCAGAATGTTCCATCATATCATAGTCTTCCGCAGATACTGCTCACTCATCATCTCTATGTCCATAAATCATTTTTCTGCAAGAACAAAGCCCTGACCCTACAGAAAAATACATATCCACGGCACAGAGGCATATAGAGTGGGGCTGAGGGCCAAACTTAGACTCTGCCTATTGATGGGTACTGACTGTAGAACAATCTTGCCCTGATCTAGGATGAGTGAAGAGGAAAAGTGAACATGTTTATGACAAAATCTTGCAGTACCTTACAGGAAATAGCATGTGAATGACTTTACAGACAACATAGCTATATAATTAATGAACTTTGGGATTCAGAAGAAAATTGTAGGACATTTTTATCTTCAGAAGATGGTGGTAGGGTAGATAGGAGAGAATTTCTGGAGGAAGTTTCTCATGCTAACACAACCTGGAAAATGTCCACAGTCTGCCTCTCTCACCGTAAGGTCAACCTGCTGAAGTACTGTCCGTGCAGAGTACTGATCAGAAGATAGAGTATTTAACCAAACATTGAAGACACAGAAATGCTTAAAATCAGTCTCTTCAAAAATACATCCACTTCAATTTTGGTCTTCACATTTGATTGTAAATTAGGAGAATCTACTTACTTGGTTTTAAAAAATACACTATTATCCAGAAGAATTCATTAGGAAGATTTCTGCTTGACTCTACCATGCAGTAGCTTGCAGTTAGACCAATGCTCCACAAAAATAGCTTAAAAAGCTGGGTGAAAAAAATCTCTCTGAAGGCTTTGGAGAGCTGCAGAGGCAACCACGACTCAAAGGGCCAAGGTCCAAGAGAGAAGTCTAGATCTTCTTGGAGCCCTGTTTCCCCTCAGGGCATCTGTAGGTTCTTCATTGGCAACTGGAAAATTCAACTTAAAATCATAGGAGATACCACTACATACGTAAAAAAAACAGCCAAAAATAAAAACCAAATCAACCCAAACCTGACAACAACAAGGGCTGACCAGCATCTGGAGCACCAGGAATTCTCATACAATGCTAGTGGGAGGGCAAGTTACAGGGTCACTTTGGAAAACAGCTTGGCACCATTTCCTAAAGCTACATATATGCGTAAGCTGTGATTCAGCAATTGTACTCGTAGGTCTACATGCAAGAGAAAGTCTGCATATGTTTGTCAAAGACACATGCAAGAATGTTCCCAACAGCATTATTTGTTAAATCCCCAAACTGTAAACAAATCAAGTGTCTATCAATAATACAATGAATAAACATATTTTGGTAGTCACACAGTGGAATACTAAATGGCAGGAAAAAAGAATAAATTCCTACTATATGCAACAACACAAATGAAAGTTGGATAAAAAAAAGCTAAACACAAAAGACACTATGATATGATTCCATTTTATATAAAGTTTAAAAAGAGGGTAAAAGGTGCCAGATGTCAGAATGGTGATTACCTTTCTAATGGGGCTAATGTCTGGGAAGGGGCGGGAGGCTGCAGGAACAGTGTTAATGCTCTACATCTGATGTGGGTGGTAACTGAGTGGGTGCCCTTAGTTGGTACAAATTCACAGGCATAGTTATGTTTTGTGCACTAATTCAGTAGATACTGTAGCAGAGTGCAGGTGTCCACTAATACCTGTTCTCCTCTTCCTCTTCTCATTTAATAGTAGCATAGTCATGTTACACAACTCCTGGGCACTATCCTCACAGACTTGGTGTGGAGGAGCTGTGCAAGTGGCAGCTCTGAAAGTAGCTTCCCATTTTAGTGGTGCGTGTCATTGTTCAGATAGAGGCCACGTTTCTCAGTTTTTCTTGTAGCTCAAGACCAACATGCAACTAAGTTCTGGTCAATGGCATATGAGAAAAGTGAAAGGGCCATTTACAGGTCTTTCCAGTAAGAAGTCTGGTTGTGCACTCCCCTCCTACGCACTGGGGAGTGGCCAGGTGGAAAGCTGCCTTGGACCCACAGACGAAAGCCACTTGTCGAGGATGACAGAACCATCCTACTAGATCTTCCAGTCTGGACTGGTATGTGAGAAAGAAATGAGCTTCTAGGTTAGATGGCTCCCTAATGAATTTAGGCTTTAAAGCACAGGATTGAAGGTAGTTGTGGTTTGAAAACTTCGTACCTTTATTTTTCGATATTTGCCACAAACAACAGTGTTTATTGCTCTGTTGTAAGTCTGCCACCATACAACCCAGAGAAGACTCTAGAGAAAAGCAGTGTAAGGAAAAGCTCATTTTCTCCTGAGGAAGCTGCTCTAGAGTCTCCTTTAATTCCGACTCTAGTAAATGAGACTTGTTTTTTTGGCTTATAAAATATAAAGGTGTCTGGATGTCCCCAAGGCTCTCCTTTGTGTCTGACATTCTTTGACTTTCCTAAAAACACTTGACCTTCATGTATCACAGTTGGCTGGAGGCCACAGTGGGAAGGCCTGTATTTCTGTGACATCCTTGGACACATAACTTGAAGGAAGTTTTCAAATATGGAGAACAATGCTTTTTTGTTATGTGGACTGTACAATAAAGCACAGGAAGTTGTACCTTTTCCAGGAGCTCTTTTTGTGGTCTCAGCATCAATAAGCACCAAATATGAACAGCAAAGAACATCAAAATATGAAGCGCTAATGACTCAGAGTGCACCAAGGGACACCGGGTTAATGGAGCCAAAGAGAAATATGGACCCAAAAGAAGGATTAGTCAAGAGATTGATATGTTTTGGGTTCTGAATCAAAACAAACAAAATGGGTTCTTTCCTTTCTGGATGTTTCAATGGGCTCTTAGCTGATATGTGGCCTAAGCACTGAGTGTGTGTTTCTTTGAAAGGAAGACACTTGTGATATTTCGTGAGCTTGTGAATGATGTGGCCAGTCCACAGGTGACATTAAAAAAAATCCTCCATACTTTATATGGCTTAACAGTATCCAAGTTATCTCACCTGGGGGTTTTTAAATACAGCATACTTTTCCTCTTTCTTCAAAAATACCACTTTGTTTTCTGTGTCTCTTGTCCAGTCTGATAAGACCTCCACAACATTTTCATGGTCTTCAAAAAACCTTTCTGATGAAACAAGAAAAACAAGCCACTTTGAGTTAAGCGCAATGTCTTATACTTCATGTAGGTTTTCAGAACCTCCTAATTCTCACACGCTGTCACATTGTAACATCCCCATTACATTTATTCTTCAGGGTCAGATCTTCAACTTATTATTATTATTTTTTATAATTTTATTTATTTATTTATTTTAGATTTTATTTATTTATTTATTTTTAGGCAGGGAAGGGAGGGAGAAAGAGAGAGAGAGAGAAACATCAATGTGCGGTTGCTGGGGGTCATGGCCTGCAACCCAGGCATGTGCCCTGACTGGGAGCCAAACTAGCGACACTTTGGTTCGCCGCCCGCACTCAATCCACTGAGCTATGCCAGCCAGGGCTTCCAACTTATTTTCCATAAAAAACATGGCAGAGGGACCTACACCACAGAGATAATGATCAACTGTGGCATTTTTTTCATATTGGCATTTTTGATTGAAAATAGTTCTGGGGAAAGATAAACACCCTATCTGTATGGAAGATAATTAGGCAATAATTGGTTTAAACAACTATGGATGAAATTGTTATAAGCACTCTAAAACATCACTCCTTAAACTCTAATAACAATACATGAATATTGGAACCAAAGCTAAACATAAAGGAAGGTTTTGATGTTTCTGCTAGACTCAGAGTTGAAGAAAACTTCAATAGTTTCTTTCAGTATAAGCCATTTCCTCCAAAAGAAAATTTCACCAAAACTTCTGAAACAGGCAATTCTATATTCCACCAAGCTCTCCTGGGAGACAATTGTTCTGAGAGTGGTATTAAGGATGAGAAGTAATAGTATTTCTTCATTTTTTAAATTTTCTTTCTTTTTTTCTGGAACAATTTCTCTCAACAGTACTCTGCTCACTGGGGCAGAGCCTCTTGAGCTAGACAAAGTGTCAGATGTTGGGCTGGGGGGAGGGAGAAAGGGGAAATGGACACTGATGTGGGGCAGAGTTACATATAGTTTAAAAAAGCAAACTCTCAAGAGACATTAGCTGACAGATACCCAGGCCCTCCCACCATCTGCTCAGCTTACTAAGCATGCAGGAAGAAGTATCATCCTGTCACTTTCTTTCCCTGAGGAGCCACTAGAGAAGTGACAACAATAATGCTTGCGTTCCCCAAGGTCTAGCCACCTGCTCTGATCCGAGTCTCTTCCCCACAAAGAGATGAAGAGGCAGAACTGAATCTGACAGAAGGGAAGTGATGTATGGGAAGTCTTGATGGCCTTGAACCAAACTCTTGTGAATAACAGACCAAAACCCATAATAAAGCAAACCCACAGGTTTTTGGAGTACAGCCAATAGCTGGGGAGGGGACTTACCAATTTGTAGTTCTGGGTATATTTCATAAAGACACCAGTCTACATTGTAGTCACAGTGGGTTTTCTCAAAAAGGTTGTCTAGAACATCTCGGGCCAACTGCCGCTCATCCAGCATCAGCGACTTCGTGCTGTTATCATTCATGTGCACCTTGACAACCAGCTGAGGACAAAGCCACAGAGCAACCACTAAATTTCAGTGACTGAAGAAGGCCACCAAGATTTAAGATTTCAAAGTTGCTATTACTTCTGCTCATTTAGGTAAGACTGTGTCCCACCAACGAATTCAACATGAACTCACACTCTGAGCACTTGTTTAAGGTGCTAGGAATACAGAGGTGGAGAAACCAACTTATGAAAAAGACAAACATACAATAAACAAAGCCCTTGCCCAGGCTTCAGAGGCTTTGCATTCTGGTGAGGGAGGCTGAAGACAAACAGAACCAAAGAGGTGCCAACATCCTGTTTTCCTGACATCTGTCTGTTACTTACTCAGGTTCATCCTGGAGGCCAGAAGCACTTTGTGACTGAAAGCCACACCTGTATCTTTGTAATAAATTTTTCTCTTTTGCTTAGCTGGAGTTAGGTCCCTTTTCATGCAACCCAAGAGATCTAAGACACAGGTAAGACTAAGTAGGTTAGCCTGTGATTCTTTGAAGGTAGGGAGTGCACAGCGACGTGACGTCACCACAGAGCCTTGCTGGGAGCCAGGCTGCCTCACAGCAGAATGCAGCTGAGATCAGAGGTGCATTACGTGAAATAAGGTAGACTGAGAGAGAAGCCATTATGGAAGAATGCAGGCAAAATTAGTGATCTGACTGACTTTTGGAACTGAGGTCACAGTCAGATTGGTAGTTATTCCAAATCTAGAGAGTTTGGTGGGAGCCGCATTTACTCATCTCCAATAAGCACATAGGATTTCTCTGGCTTTTTCTCAGACAACTCATAAAGTTATTGAAATTTCTGACCCTTAAGGGAGACCCTCATTCTGATGTAATACAACAAAATTAGATGATGAAGTAATGCAGCTAGGGTTTGGGTTTTCTTTGACATGTGTGTATTTGTAGTGTATTTTTAATTACAGTAGTTTGTTATTTACAAGTGCTACAGGTTATAATGGTGGTGTATATCCAGTCTTCAAAAGCAACAGCGGAAATGTGCCTGCTAACCTGATCCTGCCTAATTAAGTGGGAGTTACTCTAGTTAGCCCCCCTTGGAAGTTAGGGTCTGTCTGTGAGTGCTGCCCGTGGAGGAAGGAGGAGCTCTGGTCCTCTTTCCAGACAGCTTCCTGCCTGTGCTGACCGCAACTGCTCCACACGCAACCAGCAGAGAAGTCCTGGAAACAAGGCCATTAACCAGAAGCATCTGATACTCTCGCTTCAATTTCTACTCTGATTTGAAAAGAGAAGTGTAAAATGGCTAAGGACAAGTTCTGCCTCTTCTGTTTGCCCAGGCTCAGTCATGGTGATTTATGAATGAGATGTATCATTGTTTAAAACATGATCAGATGGCCTGAGGAGAGAGGCCAAACAATGGGTAACATTTCTTCCTCCCCCAAAGTTTGGGTTAGATTTGGAGCAGCTGGGAAACTGCCCCTCAGGTCCCACTTCCACTTAATCTGATCTTCAAAACTTGATGCTGTTAACAGAGAGAAGGTGGAGTTCCTGTGGATTGTTATGCAGAGTTGCTGACAGCAACCAAAGGTGTAGGTGGTGATAAAATCTGGGTTAGGCTCCAGCAAGGACCACAAGTTGAAGCTTCATGTAGTGCCTTGCCTTCTCTAGAGTCAAAATATAGAAATCAGGGCAGTAAAAGTGCAGTGTCCGCTCCTGGGACCAAATTCAGACTTGCCTGAGAACACTCTCCGGCCCTCCCACCCCCGCCAGGAAAAACTGCAGGGTAGTTGCTCTTTTTCCTGTCTGTTTTTTGATGTATTTAAAATGATAGGTCCAGTGTCTAAGATACATTCATCTGACCTGAGCATTGAGGACTGGGAGTTGCATGGAAAAACAAATATTCCTCCAACAGCGGTCTTTACCAGGGTTATTTTCTATGGAAGGCATATCTGCTGCTCTCTGCTGAGAATTATTGCTATAAAGCAGCAATTTTCAGCCTTGTTTTTTATCTCAGGGCACACATAAACTAATTACTAAAATCTTGCAGCACACCAAAAATATATTTTTTTGCTGACCTGGCAAAAAAATGTAGGTATAATTTTGATTAATTCACACAGGATGGCGACTGTTATGTTGGCTGTTGTCATCTTTCTATTTGACAGTCTAAGGGAAAAGAGGTTAGTGCCCTGACTAAACAGTCAGGTACTGTGTGTTTTAAACATTCTCGCCATTCACTGGCTGAAAATAACTGCTATAAAGTAGCTCTAGGAAACTTGTCCTAGGAAACACTGCCAATATTGGGTTTTAGAAGAGCGGCTCGTCACGATGGCAAAATTAATGATGTTTGACCACACTTCATTCTTACTTAGGAATTCTTAAGGAAATAAAACATGTTGGTTGTTTCTTTTGTTTTTATATAGAGAAAAAACCCCACATAATTTGACAATGATGAAAGGTTTTTTTTTTCTTGTAGAAATTGTAAACAGAATTTAATCCACATGTAGTTATGAATGTCCAGAATTACAAAACTTAGAAAATAAGAAAATGAAGAGAAGGCTGGTGACTTTTAGTGAGAAGGAACCATATTTATTACTCTCACAGCTTCCATCACATTTGCAGGTTGATGGGTGTCTGTGTCAACATAGAACACGCTAATGCTAACTCACTAACTCGCAGTCATGTGATTTAACAAGCTAAGCACTTGTCACATCCACACTGTGTGACACAGGGTAAAATGATTCAAGAATGAAAAAGCTCCCTTTTTCTAATCCATTACGGCAGCGATTTTCAACTGGTGTTCCACAAGAATGTTTAAAATATGCAGTACCTGACTATGTAGTCAGGGGCACTGACCTCTTTTCCCTTAGATTGTTAAGTAAAAAAATGATAACAGCCAACACAGCAATAGCTGTCCTGTGTGGATGAATCAAAATTATACCTGTATGTATTTTTTGTCAGACAGGCAATGTTGGGAACTGCCCTGCCTGGTATCAGAAGCTGTAACCGACCACCACCCCCCAACCCCGACCTTAGGCTAAGGCTGAGGGAGTGGCCTTGGACTGTAAACCAGCAAGGAGACAAAAGCTTATCTTTCTGGCAGGAGTGCTGCTTCTGCTGCTTCATTCATAACTGAACCCCAAAGCTTGGTCGGTTAGCCAATGACAGGTAAGATTCCCCAAGGGGGGAACGACCTAAGACAGGCACGATCACGTGGGAGGCCCCCAAAAGAAGGACTTTGGGGGCTACAGCAAAAGGGGGTGATGGACCCTCGCTCCTTGGCTATGATATAGCCTGAGTCCTCATTGTCTGGGAGAAAATCTCCTTATCCCTTGGCTGTCTTATTTCCTTTGCTTCACCTAAGCCTGAAACAATGACAGGGTGGTGCAGCTGTGTGCTGAAAAGGGCGGGTTCCCCGGGTGATCAGGCCTAAGAAAGAATATGTAAGATCCTGTGAAACCTGCTTTGTTTAGAATGCTCTCAGTTGAACAATAAGGGTCCAAGGAAGAAATAAGTTTGTTCTTTAAAGTTTTACAGCTCTTTGACCCTGACTCAAAATAGGCCCTCAGACTTCCTTGTTATCTATTGTTTGATCCTTACTTCCTAGCAATGAGTAATGAGCTTTTACCTGAATTCTTATTTCAAACAAAACCAATAAAAAGCCTCTCCAGAGGGAGAATAGGTGCTCTCCCCACCAGGGAGGGTGGCCTTTCTGCTCCTACTTCCCCACAGGACTCGGTTGTCTCTGTGTATGTTTTTCTCCCAGGTTGACGAGCCATCCACAGCGTTCCGTGGTGACTGCCAGCAGGTGATCACTTCAAGGCAAAAAATACATTTTTTGGTGTGCTGCAGAATTTTAGTTATTAGTTTATGTGTACCACAAAGTTGAAAATTGCTGCATTACAGGAAAGATTTTATAGTTTTTATATGTATTGTTCTTTTGCAAGCTATTAAATACAAGAATACCCTAGCTCTGAATCATTTGCAACATTTTTTTCTTCTATAATAAGATTTACAGATGGAATTGTTCTACTGGAATACATAGCTTTCAAACAAACAAACAAACAAACAAACAAACAAACAAAATTAACGCCTGAATCTGATGGGGCTTCCAGTTCTCAAAGCTTTGTCCTACAAGATGCAGATACAATTCATGGTCCAGAAAGATCTCAACACCTACAGAACCCTGGGGGCAAAGTACTTCAGATGACTTGTTTTCCCTCCTGCAAAGGCACAGTGTAGATTATGTGTGAGTACATATTAGTCACTTTACTATTGTATGAGTTTGTCATTTATTTTCTTAATGTTCTGTGCCACACAAAGGCTTTTGTTTTAAGACAAACATTTAGAGCTTCTGAAATCAGCACAAATATACAACCTGGCTTTTAAAATTTCCTTTCTCATTGTTCAGAGTGACTTTTCTGTTTTACATCTTCTTTGTTGAATCAGGGCAAGTCGTGATTAGTGTTTACTGTTACGATTCACCTCAACTAGACTCTGGCCATGGTCCCTCCTTTCTCATACACAGCAGTAAACAGCTGCTCCCTCCTCCCTGTTTTAACCTCCAGCTGAAGCAAACACACTGAATATGTTAGTGGTTCTATGTTTTTCATCTAAGAATTAACTTCTCTTTTCATTTCCCCTCTGAAAATATATCCAACGTAGCTCTCATTTTACAAACAACTAGAGATTCGCTTGGGCTTCTTCCTGCTTTATTTTCTTTTTGGCATTTACCTCCTCCATTAGAATTCACCTCTCCACAAGCAGGGACCTCTCCTGACTCGCTCACCTCTCTGTCTCCTTAGTACCTGTTCCAGGAGGTGGGGACGCATCAGTGAAGAAAACACAACCTCTCTGGCAGAGCTTCTATGGGGGTAAGGAGGAGATGTAGGTAGGCATAAATATGATAGAGAGAGGTAGACAGTGTATTGCAAGGAGACAAACACTGAGGGGAAAAAGGAAGTTGGGAAGGGCAGGAAGTTTTAGGCAGTGTGTGATGTCAGATAGGAAAGGCCTCATTGGGTAGGCCTAGAGCAGGGACAGAGAAGAGCCACTGGAGTCTGGGGGACAGCTTTCCAGGCAGCTAGGCCAGAGTGTACCTAGAATATTTCAGGTGCAGCTGTGAGACCAGATGGCTAGAAGGGGGCGAGTGAGGGAGAGAGTGGTGGGAGATAGAGGGCAGCCAGATCAGAGGGGAGCTTTAGGCCATTGTGAGTTTAGGCTTTCCTATGTGAGATGAGTGCCACTGGAGGCTTTTGAGCACAAGGACAGAAAGAGAGGATGGGAACTGGGGACACGGGGGAAGGCTGGTCTTAAAGTGACAGGAAAGACTGTGGACTCTATGTCACAGGTGCAGGCAGCAACAGCATCAGGTGAGAGAATGCGGATGAGGAGAGAGGTGCTGGAGGCTTTAAGAGAGAACAAGGTAGAAATCGTGTCCTAGGTTAGTAGGCGAGTGACTGGACTGGCAATGTTCAGGCAGCACTGAGGGCCCAGGCCGAGGAGGAGGAGAGCTCAATCAGACCAGGGTGTCACAGAGTAAGTACAAGGGGAAGAAGGGCCAGGTAGCCAAAGATACAGAATTTCAATTATTGATCATGGGATTTTTTTTTTAAGATTTTATTTTTAGAGAGTTGGGAAGGGAGGGAGAAGGAGAGGAAGAGAAACATAGATCTGTTGCCTCCTATACTCCCCCAGCTGGAGACCTGGCCCACAACCCAGCCACACCAGCCAGGGCATGATCACAGAATTTATTCACATTTAGAGACCAGGGAAGAATAATGGTAAGGAAGTTAATGCATGTTTGGTGTGAATGGAATCAGGCTAATCTGGAAAGTCCTAGATGAACCTTGAAAGTCTGGATCCAGGGATATTCATGGAATATTTGTTGAATATCAGTCAACATGTACTGAACACCTTTATTCAAAGGACCGTGAACATAAAGTCTAAGGTCTTATATAAAAAGAATGGTTCACCCAACTATAAACAAAAAGCTCTTAATGAGTTTCAGAGATAGTACATACTTTACAGGTTGAAATAAGACAAAGACTGTTTCATCTTTCTTTTAATTTATCAATTAACTATTATTAACTTTAATTAGCTATATGCTTCTACTAAAGTTAAATGCAGGTGTTTCTGTTATAATACAGCATAAGTACTCCTGAAAAACATATGTTCTACAAAAAAATGCACAAGAAAATTTCAGGCTTATTAGGAAAATAGGTTGGGGCAGGTCTCTCAAACCTATGCAACTTGGAAACCAGAGTACTAGCCAATCAACATGTGCTACATGAATAGATAGCTTGGACTTCCAGGGTAGGCAGTGAGGCTGGAGGCTGCCTCCGGAATACGCCAAAGGCTTGAAAGCAATTACGGAGATGGAAGCAAGGCCAATGGAAGCTGTGCTCTGACCCAATTAAGGCAGGCCCAGAGGGTGGCGCCACCTGCTGTTAGCTAACAGCTGAGCTGAATCAGAGAGGGCTCCCTGGCCATGAGGGAACCCTGGGTATGGATACTTGAGAACTTCCACATTTATACTAACATAAGTCTCTTATTAATCAATTACAAATGAACTGATGACATAGAAGGACTACTTATCTAATTTATCTTTGTCCTTAAAGTAAAAACATTGTAATTATTTGGAAAGCATCAACGGAAATTTTATTTTTGAATAATTAAATATAGCAAAATGTCATTGATTTAACTTCCCCATGCAAAAGTGATTCATATTTACCTTCTTGACCTTGGCTTCTTTCAGTTTTTCCAGTGCCAGCTTAATTTTATCAGCCTTCGCCTGGGCTTCTTCTTCTTCCTGTAAAATGGCAGGGCATTCAACACAGTCCATTAAGAACACCAGCCAGTAAATACCTGTGCCATCACTAGTGTCTTAGTTACTTTATGTTAGCAAGGGCTGTAATGTAGGGCACCAAATTTCACATGACTGATTTTCAGAATTCAGTGACCATAACAGAAACCTCCAGCCCAGGAATATAGAAGGCAGTCATCATCCTTTATATTAAGGAATAGCAACTTAAATGATGAAGTGATGAAATGATGAAATGATGACACTAACAGAACTTCACATATTTGATCCACAAAAATCTCTGCTTGGCTCAAAACTGGGCTCCAACTCAAGGGATTTACTGGAGGATCTCAAGGGGGTTGAGAACTTCCAGAAATTATGTGTGGGTTTTTAAATTTTAGATTTTATGTTATTTATTTTTAGATGGAGGGGAAGGGAGGAAGAAAGAGAGGGAAAGAAACATCAATGTGTGGTTGCCTCTCATATGCCTCCTACCTGGGACCTGGTCCACAACCCAGGAATGTGCCCTGACCGGGAATCCAACTGGTGACCCTTTGGCTTGCACTCAATCTACTGAGCCACACCAGCCAGGGTTATATGTTTGTTTGTTTGTTTGTTTTTACCATTTTAAGTGTACAGGTTCAGTGCATTAAATATATTCACATTGTTGTGAACCATCACCATCTCCAGCACTCTCTTCATATGAAATACTTACAGTAGTTAAATTCATAGAGACAGAAAGTAGAATAGTAGTTGCCAGGGGCTTCAGGAAAGCAGGGAATAGGGAGTTATCATTTAATAGGTATAGAGTTTCGGTTTTGCAAGTTGACATTTTATGCATGACTTCAGATCGATATGCACTTTTCTGGGATTCCTCCTTCTCATTAGATTTCTAAAGGAGTCCTTATTTCCCCCAAAGTTAAGACTTAGGCTCAAACTTCAACATAAAATTCACCAAAAAACACTGACAACCACATATGAGCAGGCAGAAAAGAGAATTAAATATTTTATAAGCCCTAAACCCTTTGATTTTTGCACATTAACATTCGGAGAATAGGATTATTAAGGCTCCCCTACATATATTTATAATAATGAGGAAATGAGCTGTTCTGGTTGGGTTCTAATTCTTCTAATATCTTCTTGCACCAGTGGTTCTTAAATTCTTTTTTTGAGCTACGAACCCTTTTTAGGAATACATATATGTTTCAAGAGATGGAGCTCAGAAAGCTTCACACATGCATTTAACTTTGCATGTACTTCCAGGGAATCATGGCTGCCTTGACATCTTCGTGAACCCTCTAGTAAGGGCCTTAGCTTGTTAGGGTGGCTATTACCAAAAGGACTGGAGATAACAAGTGCTGGAGAGGATGTGGAGAAAAAGGGGACCCTTGTGCACTGTTGGTGGGAAGGTGAATTACTGCAGCCACTATAAAAAAACAGTATAGAGGTTCCTAAAAAAGCTAAAAATAGAACTACCACATGATCCAGCTATTTCACTTTTGGATATATATCCAAAGGAAATAAAATGACTATTCTGAAGTGATCTGCACTTTCATGTTCATTGCAGCATTAGTCACAAGAGCCAAAAAATTGGGAACAACCTAAGTGTTCACTGATGGCTGAATGAATAAAGAAAACATGTATATATTTATAAAAATAAGTGTATATACATACACACAATAGAATATTATTCATCCATAAGGAAGATGAAACTCCTGCTACTTATGACCATATGGATGAACTCTGAGGGCATTATGTAAAGTGAAATAAATCAGACAGAGGAAGGCAAATACTGTATGGTTTCCCTTATATGTGGAATCTAAAAAGCTGAACTCATAGACAGAGAGTAGCATGGTGGTTGCCAGGGAGGAGGCGATGATGGAGACAGGGAGATGCTGGTCAAAGGGCACCAACTTCTACTTATAAGGTAGATGAGTTTGGGGGCTCTGATGTCCAGCATAGTGGCTGTAGTAAAATATACTGTATTACATACTTGAAAGTTGCTAAAAGAGTATATGGAAATATTCTCATTATATATACTCAAAAAAGGTGATGATGTGGAGTGATGGAGGTGTTAACTAACCTCATTGTAGTAATCATTTCACAATGCATGTGTGTATCAATCATCACATTGTATACCTTAACCTTACAGATGTCACTCATAAATGAAAGGAAAAAAGGAGCCTCTACCCTATATGGGTCACTGATTTTTCAGTGATTTCCTAGAATAAATACACAATAGGTCAATGAATATGATTTTAATATTTGTTCATTCAAAAGGCACTGAAGGAACTTCCAGGGTCCCTAGGACTGTATTTATGAAATACCAACCATCATTATTCAGCTCAACAAATATGGAGGCCACCACAAATGGAGTGAAATTCTCACTCTAAAATATTCATAAAGTGGCTCACTCTAAGAACAAATCTTAAAAGTTCTTTTTTTTTTTTACTTTTATGAGAGACATGCTGTAAGTCAATGTCCCAAATAATGACCATATCAACTTTCTAGCTGTTTTCCCAGTGTGTACAAATGTATTACTATCAAGCCCTGGTTACCTGCCTACCCCATAGCACTTCTCCACTGACAACATTACAAGTGATTCGTAGATATATCTTTGTCCTGTTGAACAGGGCTGCCCAGTTCAGCAAAATTCCATTTAGTTCATTTCAGAAACATGTAAGAAATGCCTTCTATTCTTCATGTATTTGGCTTGCATCAGGGACTCAGAAATGTATAAATCAGTTCTGTAGTTCATACCATGTTAATAAACATTACCCTCCAAAGTTGACTATTATCAGGAAGTGCTGTGTATAAATATAGATTTTAGCCAGACTATAGTGATTCCTGATTATGGACTTCATAGGTTCTTTATGCACACCTATCACTCTTTTGTTTTAATATATAATCTTCATTATATTTTTTTCATTGCCATTTAGTCCCCTTATACCTTCCTCCCCCCAGCAATCACCACCCTGTCTTATTTTTGGAGGACTCTGCCTTTGTAATGAACATACTTTGTATCCTTGTTTCTTAGCATCTCAGAGCTTTCGGAGTACAAATTTATGACTATAACTCTCACTCTGAAGAAAGTTAAAGATGATGGGTAGAGAGGTCAAGGGTCCTGCCATCTCTGGCCCCACACACATACCTGAGAGAGAGGTTCAGGAGGTGGCGGTGGCGGAGGAAGGTCTAACAGGGGATCCTCTGGTGGAGGTGGTAAAACATCCTCATACTGGCTCACATGAATTGCAGCGACGTTTGCTCCATAACTGAGGGAGGCTGCGCCACTGGAATCTGATATGTCCAGAGGTGCTGAATGCTGTTGGCTCTGAGAAGACTCTTTCTGTGCCTGGATGGTCCTCTGCTCTGCTTCACTTATATCTGCTACCAGCTCTGCCATGAGAGCATCTAAATCTTGGTCTTCCAGTGCATTTAAGGATTCTGGTAGAGAAAAATCACATTAATAATCAAAACAAAGATTTGTGCCTGGAAAAACTGATAAAAAGGTCACTTTAAGAGTAATTTGAGTCCCGGTTGCCATGGGGATGGGGAAATAGGGAGAGGCTGGTGAAGGGGTACAAACTTTCAGTTATAAAGTGAGTGAGGTCTGAGGATCTAATGGTGACTATGGGTGATAACACTGTATGATAAAACTGAAATTTGTGAGCAAAGTAGAACTTAACTCTTCTTATAAAAATTATAGAAAAGAATACATATGTGAGTGCGGAGAGGCAAATCTTCATTGCTCATATGTGCAAGTATATGCTATCTATTAATGTCATAATTTTACAAAAGTGTATTGCTTTTCTCAAACTTCATGAATGTTACCCATGCAAAAGTGGCTCATAGTTTGCCTTCTTTCATTTAATGTTATGATGGAAATGGCAGATAATGATAATATATTTATATGGCAAGTAATAGAAAAGAGGATGGGAAAAAAGAAAATTGAAAGATGTGTATTATAATTTATTGAGATACTGGCATTGGCACCTAAGCATTTATTGAAAAATTACTGGAAAAACAGAAACAAAGAAACCCAGTGAGCGTCAGGAATAAAACTTGGAACTCTGGATTTCTAGAACTGCATTTCTTTATTATTTTGTTTTCCATTCTTTTGGTAGGGACTACCAATCTTTGGAAAATCTTTTTCAAGTGTTGCAATGAATTCTCATTCATTTGGAAGGGGTTACTTCAAGATTCATTGTAATTTGAATAGCACATGGGCTAAAGATTGTCTTTGCATTAAATAAGAAGAGAGGTTTTTTTAGAAAAATTCTCATTCAAGGAGAGGAAGGGGGAGAGAGGGAGAGAGATAGACAGACAGACAGACAGACATTGATGTGAGAGAAAAACATTGATCAGTTGCCTCCCGTTTGCACCCCAACTGGAGATCAAACCTGCCACCTAGGTATGTGCTCTGACTTGTAATTGAACCTGCATCCTTTCGGTGTGTGGGACAACATTCCAACAAACTAAGCCACCAGGCCAGGGCAAGAAGAGAGATTTTTGTTAATAAAACAACATGATGATCTCAGGGAGAATAAATAATGTCAAATAGAGCAATATATCATATTACATATTAGTTATACACAGAAATTAAAATATATTTGGAACATCCATTCATATATTATCAATCATTATGAAATGAACAATTCAACATTATCCTTGAAGAAATATTTGTTTTTTAATATTTTCTTAGTCTACTGTACTCTATTACTCTAAAAGCCCAGAAATAAGAAATTCCCTTTACTTCTTAAAAAACACAAGATGGTTTTGAGACTTTACTCAAATACAAGATAGTGTTCCTTTTCATTACAAGCAACATTATCTTCTTGCACTCTCAATTCAATCCAGACACAAAAAAATGCAATCTTAAATCCAGGTCTATAAAAATTATACTTATCATAATGTCTAGGTTCCTTACATTTTATTTTCAAATTGTAGTTTCACACTGATTTTAGTCATTATCATGATTTCAAATTACTTTAGGAAAAAAATTATAATACTTACCATTTAAATCCTTAAAACCCACACTGTAGTTAAATTCAGCTCTGGGAGGTTTGGGGTCTGAAGGAGGAAGTGTGTCGACTCCTAAGCTCTGTAGAAACAGATTCCCGCCCCCCACAGTTAATCACGACACCAACACTTCTGCAGTAATTTAACCATTAAGTCAAAAGTCATTTACTGTTTACATAGTTTTCCTCTAAATTTAGAAATGACATTCCTATTTGAAAATGTTTTATGTAATTTTTTGCCCTACAAAAGATTACAACTTAAAAATGATTCTAATAAGTACATCTTGAAACAAAACAGGTCAACTGAGAATGATGGGAATGAGATAAGTATTACGAACGACAAAAAAAGTTTCTTGTAATGATGTATTTGTGACATCTACACTACACAGTATTCTTTACAAACATACACAATTCTTCATTTGTTTTGTAGAAAAGTTTAAGATCCCTACCTTAATGAGGAATAGCTGGGTTATTTGTATTTCAGCACTTGACGCAGGATGTGAGGAGCTCACATCTGTGAGGACTCCACCAGACACACCAGCAGCCTGGATCAGGGGTTCTCAGGCCTGCAGCCTCCAGGCCCCATTCAGTCTGCCAGTGACTGATCTCTGAGTTAACCTGACCTTTCTTAGACCTGGAGCCTATGGCTGGGTGGCCATCATACTACTTTGAGGGAATGAAGGTCTTACAGTGCAAAGAGGCCACGAACTCCCTTTTAGTCCTAAAATGTAGCATTTCCTCAAAAAGTGGGCAAGAATATTTACTGAAGATCATGCAGTTTTCTTAGGTAGCCTTTCTATAAGGGTAAGTGCATGAGAAATTGTTCAGTGAGGTGGTTGTGGGAGGACTTCCCTTGGGAAGGTTGCTCTGTTGGCTAAACAGTGGATCATGATGAGCTTGAGAACTGCCACGACCGGATGTGCGCATGACCAGCATAGGCAGTCAGCTGGCGCCCGGTGTAATCAGGAGAGCTCCATTCCGTTCCCCAGCACCGCCGCAGAAACGTCAGCAATATGTAATATCATCAATGCCCAGTTTTTAAAACGGTGTTTTCTTATCAAAATCAAAATTGGTAGCCCCATGTTTTTCTAATTTGAAAGTTAAAAAGGGGGATTTACCTGGGTCAAGAGATCCATCTCTCCTAGCAGATTGCTGAACATTTGGTCTATATCATCATTTGACTCACCCATCTGAAAAAGAAAGAAACCCAGATGTAAACAGTCCAATAAAAGCCTGACTTCTGGAGAACTGTCGCACCTCTTATTCTTTCTCCAAGTGCCCCATCCGCGGACAAGGCAAGAAGAGAAGGCCCTATGGAGAGGAATGTTCATTTCAGTCTGAAATTCCATGGTGGATTCCACTCCAATTAACTTGGTCCAAGATTGAGCCAAACCCTGGGAAACGGCCTCAGAGCAACAATCAGACTAAACTAGTCTCTTTGGGGCCAAGTGCACAAAGTGGACATTGTTCAGGAATTCACCTTGCCGAAGGACACTTTATTAGAAGAGGAGAAAGCCTCACACAGGTGGTTATGAAGGAGAGAGACGTGGAACTTCACCTCCACTTAAAAATTCAAACAGACACATGTCAGGGGTGGGTAAGTGTCTCTACCACATGATTCTCTGAAATAGCAGTTTTGGCGCATTTATTTGGAAGTAGTGGGATGATAAACACTTAGGACTAAAGTGGTGACACAATTAAGTGATGAGACAGAAATACATCATGCTGTACCCCACAGAAGAACCTTTCTTCACCCAGGACAAAAGAAGTGGTTGCCCAAGAGAGGAGAAGTGCTTCCATACAATGTTTCCAAACACCTGTGAGGTGCAGCTGGCTACTTTCTGCCTGACATTTTCTGTGAAGCTGGATTAGGAGACTAAAAGACATGATTACTAGGCGTCCTTCAGATACTAATTAGTAGTATGCTTTTTAGCAAAGGGAATTAACTATAATACTTCACCTGTGAGATGAGGAGTTTGCTGGAGATAATTTCTAAGGATCCTAAATGCTCTAAAATGTTAGAAGATTAATGCTAATTACAGATCAAGCTAATAAGTCTGGTAAAAGTAGAGGATCGGCATGTAATATTTAAGCCAAACAATATTTATGTGTGTGTATGGGTGTGTTTGTGTTTTAATAATTTCATGTTAACTTAAACAGATACAAAACTAGAGAAAATAATATCATGATTTTCATGTACCCAATGTCCAGCTTTAACAAGGATCAACTCACGGCTGATCTGTTAAATTTAAACATCATATCTGTATCTTCTCCCAATAATTATTTTGAGACAAATATTATTTTTCATAAATATTTCAGTATGTAGCTCAAAATGGCTGGCTTGCCTTTCTTTCTTTCTTTCGTTCTTTCTTTCTTTCTTCCTTCCTTCCTTCCTTTCTGACTCTTTCCTCCCTCCCTCCCTCCCTTTCTCTCTCTCTTTTTACCATAGCCATACTATCATCCCCATGATGATTGTTAATTTTCCAAGACACTCTATTTGGCTTCCAGTGTGGGAGGAATCTTGCAGGAGCATGGGTGACTACAAAACCGGCCTGGCCAAGAAAAGGCCAGGAAAAGGACTTCAGTTAAAATGCAAGAGGTCTATGATACCATGGGACAAGTGTATTCCTAAGGAGCAGACACACCTGAGAGAACCAGGTGTGCATATACACGGGACAGGGAGGAATCCAAGGAAGTCATTCAGTGAATGCTCAGGGTCCTATCACACAAGGTAGGCAGGTGAGCACCTAGGTATGAAAGTAACAGCAAGGCAGACACTGCTGGTGTGAGTCTATGTGAGCAGGTCTAAGGGGTCAGGGAGGACTTGCACAAAGCATCAGTGAAGAAACACAGAAGATGTTCATGCTTTTTTATGTGGGTTCTTGGGCTTGGGGTTTATTGCAGTCAGAAGAAGGAAAAAGAACTTCAGGTGGGGAGGGGAGTCAAAGCTGGATCCATTTGCAGGTAGTTTTATCCCCTCCCAGGTGCTTAGAAAATATCTGTATCATATTCTTCTTTCTTCAAATTACTTACACAATAGAGGAAAGAAAGTATATCAGTAAACAAAGTACCCAGGGTTTCATAAATGACCTGCTCAAGAAATTATTATGGTATTCCATTTATTGTTTTAATAAGAGGAAATTAACAGAATTAACAGTAAAATTTCAGAACAGCCCATTTATTTTCATTAGAATATTATGTAGTACAGTAATGTGACAAAAATAGAGGAATCCTTCAGGTGAATTATTATTAGCAGGTAAAGTTGACAGTATTAGTGTTAACATTTAAAATTTTTAAAAAGATTTGTATTTATTTTTAGAGAGAGGAAAAGGGAAGGAGAGAGGGAGAGAAACATCGATATGTGGTTGCCTCTTATGCTCCCCCTACTGGAGACCTGACCAGCAACCTAGGCATGTGCCCTGACTGGGAATCAAAAAGATGACCCTTTGGCTTGCAAGCCCTCACTCAATCCGCTGAGCTACAACCAGGGCACATTAAAACATTTTAATAACAGCAAAGTAATCCAGTCAAAGTGGAAAAAACAGATTTATGTTTTGACCTCAAAACTGCTAGCCAGTCTTAACAATAAACTCATAGGAACCAAAGACAATGCTAGTAAGAAGAATACTACTATTGATGTTTCATCTTATATCAGTAAATTTGGAAAAGCACTAAAATGATAAAGAATAAAGTCTTAAAAGGAAACATGATATCCATGAGTCAGAAAAACCCACTGAGCCCAAAGACTGTGGTTCTCAGCCTGTACACACCTCTGACACAGAATGGGTTAAGGGCGTGCCAGAATGAATCATGCATCTAAGATGGAAATAACTCAAAACAGTACATTCTCATAACTTCTGCTGAAACTCCTAGACTCATCTGTAAAAATCTTTCCTCCTGCCCTTTCATTCCTTTACCCCAGAATCTGTTGATATGAAAACACTAAAAGCAGTCAGCATCAAAAATGTGCTGTAAATCAAGTCATCAGTGAGTCTGCTACTGAGTGAACCACAACTTAAAGGAGTTGCATCCCTGGTGAAAATAACAAGACATTCATTTGAGTTAAAGGCTATTATTAATATATATTCATAAATTTGCATTAATCTGTAAATATAATCATTTTATAAATTTATCCATCCTGCCCTGCAAGAAAACTTTCTTTTTGGAATGGACAGAACAAAGCGCACAAACATATACAATACACACACACACACACACACACACACACACCCACAAGTGTGAGAAAATAGGAATGTGTCTATTTGTATGTGTGGTATTCTCCAAAGTCAAAATCAAGATGAAAGTGAGAAGGAGAGAGAGTGAGCGAGAACACCCAGCCACCAGGGCTGGAAGTGTTGTTTGGGTTAACAGCAGGGTGGAGCAGCCTTGGTGAAGTAACAGATTGCAAAACAAGCAATGTGCACATCATGTTGGGTGGAATTCACATCTTTTTGTGAGTATGTCATTTCTGAGTTCCTTTTGTGTCCTGGGAAGAACAACAAACTGTTGAGTAAAAGAGAAAACTAGAATAGTCCTTTATCAGATAGATTTGTTGGGGAGTTTTTTTGTTTTTTGTTTTTTTTTTTTGGAAGGAAGGGTGGTAAGCAGTGTATAGGAGAGAGGCTGAAATCCTGCCTAAGATTCCCTGAATTTCCAAGGGAATTTCCCCCAATGCTGAATACTTCCCTAAGGCTCAAATTTCTAAGTCTCAGCTTTCATCCTCAAATAGTTTCTCTTTTCCACATATGTAAATTTCATATATACATATTTAAAAAATCTATCCCTAGCAAAAAATGATATGCATGTTAGGTGATGGGTGTGTAAGCTAAACTTACTGTGGTGATCATTTCACAATGCACACATGTATCACATCATTATGTTGTATGCAAACTTACACCATGTTACATGCTAATTGTATCTCAATAAAGCTGGAAAAAATCTATCCTAAGTACTCTGGTACACATGAGCAATAGCATATTTTTTTATGTCTATGGCAAAGTTAGCCTCCTATATGTAATTCAGTTAGGCTGCAGGTGTCATTGCCATTTGGGTTAGAAATTCCATGATTTGGGACCTAGATCAGGACAGCACCCATTCAATATGTAACAGGCATTTTCATTATTATTTGCCCTCTGGTGCATTCTCCTCCCAGTGCCCTAATTTGGCTAATGGTCATTATTCACTTGTTAGTCCAGTTTAGTAACCTTGGCATAATCCTTGACTCCTCCCATTTTCCCATCCCTCATCAGCTCCTCCGGCCTTCAGCCTCCCAAAGACCCCCTCAAACCTCACCACCATCTCTGGCAAACAGAAATACAAATGCGAAGGTGTCATCCTCCTGTTCAAAAAACTTCCATGACTGATCAAGATGAAGCAGAGAGAGTTTAGGTCTTAGCATATCTTTCAAGTCCATCATAATTGACCACAACCTACTTTTCAGGGTTCAGCTCGTGCCCTTCAGGGCCCCCGACCCTGTCTGAACAAGCTGAGAGCTTTAACAAACTCTCTTTGTCTTTGTATATGCTATCCCCTTGAAATAATATCCTCTTCTGTCTATGCCTCCCTCATAAAATCCTATTTATCATTCAATATCCAGCTCTTGTGTCAATACTTCAATGGTGTCTTCAAAATCAGTGGAGACATTTGTCGGCTGTTGCCTCTGGGAACCATATCAGTAAATCTGGGTCCCAGCAACAACATCGATAACGAATTTAACCCCCCTAGGCTTGTTCCCTTGTCTATAACATGAGGAGAATCATATATAACTCATAGGATTGTTGTGATATTTAAACAAAATAGCATATAGCCCTTGGTGTTTATATACTCAACAATAGCATTTACCAGTCTGAATCATGCTTTTTTTGTTGCCATGTTAGAATCTCTTTCCAGACTGGCAGCTGTTATTTAGTAAGATCAGATCTTGTTCATCTTTGTGTTAGAAAATGCTAAGTAACCTCAGAAACTAATAAGAAAAAAGTGAGCTAGGCCTCAGGCTGCATAGAAGGCTAGCGTCCTACCTCATGCGCCCTGAACACGGACGCTGTTGCACCGCACTCAGAGGCCTGACACTGCATTCCAAGGCTGGACAGTCCCTAGAAGTCGCCAAACTCCATGTTTCCTATAACTATCAGAGCAATTAAACAAACGTCTGTTTCTAAGCTGTTACCTAGGTTTATGGAACTTCACTCAC